CATGGGAGGAACGGATGTGTGCGCAGCCAAAGACTGTCAGAGAGTTTAACAATCCAACACGTTCGAGGAGCCTCGCTGTTAACCAGCCGACAAGTTCCTCTCATCATCATGAACGTGGTAACTGTAGTTATATTTTAAATCATTCGAGGGAAAATCTCTCCCAGTGTTGTTGGCAAATGTAGTCGATTGAAGATATAAGTGACTTTTACTGCATTTAACAGTCACACAAGAGGTGGCACATTTTCCCTTTTTGATTACAGCACAAAATGTTTATTCTTCTCCAGGTGGAGGTACAGATGGTGATTTCCACCTCTATATCTATATCTATATCTATATATATATATATATATATATATATATATATATGTATATATATATATATATATATATATATATATATCATTTTACATGCATCAGGCTATGTGTCTTTATACGTTTCCCAATGTTCCTCAGTTTATAGTAACATCCAAGGGGGCTTTTGTCTTCTCTTTCTGTTCCGGTAGCATCACTCCATGTTCTTGATTTCCCTCAGTACGTTTGTCCCTCCAAAGAGGTTCGGACAGCGAGCACCGAGGCCGACAAGAAGCTGTCTCAGTTTGACGTGGAGATCAGTATGAGGGAAGATGTGTTCAAGCGAATCACCGCCTTGCAGGTACGTCTCTGAATATAAACCGTTTAAACCAATCCGTTTAAAGTAATGTACAATCTAAAAGATGCTCACAGTGTGGATTTAAAACATGGATCCCAGTTGCTGTTCCAATGATGGATTATTTTCACATTTATTCTCAGCCAGACAGCAGCTGAATAGTTCAGGCTGCTTCTTATTTAGCCGAAGAAAGACATTTAGTGTGATCTTTTCCAAGGTGCCAAATATGATATCGCTGGCTGGCCGACGTGCAGCGTGATTACCATGGAATTTAAATGAAGGTGTGGTTGTCTGTGTGATTATTTTAAACAGAAAAAGCTCCAGGAAAACCTCTCACCTGAAGAAAAGCGATTCTTAGAAAGACTTGTTACATCGGGCAAGCGGAAAGGACTGCACCTATCTAAAGATATTCAAGAGGTAATGCAATATGTCATCTGGTTATGAAAGCTGCTTTTACTCTTCACCATATTTATTGCTCGTATATTACATTAAATACCGTGTTTTTTTACATTACATTACATTTACATTTTTTTACATTAAATCACATTTACAGGTCAATTGTAATCACATTTACGAGCAATTAGGGGTTCGGTGTCTTGCTCAGGGACACTTCGACATGGGACACGTTAACAATTTCCGAGGTCACAGCAAAGGCCGGTCTTTTATTTTGAAGTCTGATTTTTGGGTGCTCTTGTGTTTTTGCATTTCAGCAACTCGGTCATTTAATCGTGCTTTTTTTTTTTTTTCCCCCTCTTCCAAGCAAATAAAAAGAACCTCCATGCTGATAAGTGAACTCTCCATTGAGTTTAACAAGAACCTGAACGAGGACAACACGTTCCTTGTTTTTTCCGAGAACGAATTAGGTAAGCCGGCGATGCCCGAACCTCAGAGTCTGGTTTCGTACAAACGTCACGGCTCCCCCACCGACCTCGTCGCCGTCTTGTGTTCAGGCGGGCTGGCGGACGGCTATCTCAACGGCCTGGACCGGACGGCAGATGGGCGCTACAAAGTGACATTCGAATATCCCCACTACTACCCGCTGATGAAGAGGTGTCACCACCCGGAGACCAGGAGGAAGATGGAGACCGCTTTCCACAGCAGGTGTAAGGAGGTAACCGGAGTCCGACGCCGCCCCGAACGCAGCGGGACCCGTCTGTTTTTAACTCCCGCGGCGATCACGTCTCTACGTGGTAATCGGGGCCGATGTGCATTGACAGCTGGATTGAATGACTGCTAGATGAGCAAACCGCTCGCCCACTGCGGTTGGCACGTTAAAAGCATTCGACGGGTGATACAGGAGGTGGCTTTTAGAAAGTGATCAGTACAGACTTTGTTTTTGTTCATTTTTGTGGAGTGGGTCACGTTTAAATATTACGCGGAGGAACGGAAATATAAGATAAATATGGTGAATGATTGAAAAAGGCCAATTGACTGACTTATCAAAAGAACATAAGTTTGTGTAGTTTCACTGTAAACCAAAAACACCGATGTAGACTCTAATCAGCTGATCTGTGAATCTTATTATTTATATGTATAAATATCTATAATACAATTTATTTTTCAGGTTAACACGCCAATCCTTGAAGAGGTAATACAACTGAAGGCGAAGGCCGCAGACCTACTTGGTTACAGTTGCCATGCGGACTATGTGCTGGAGATCAACATGGCCAAGAACGCGAGCAGAGTCTCTGACTTTTTAGGTACGACACCTTTTGACATGTCACCACTTGGGCACACGCACACGCACGCACGCGCACACACAACACATGTGTAATCTAAGATGGAGAATAAATAACTGTGAGAGAGAGAGAAACACTACACCCCACACACACTTCCGATGAATGTTGTACTACGTTCCTGTTCATGTGTGGTGTAACATAACGGAATAAACAGTAGCCAGGCTCATGATCAAGGTCGTATATCTCTCAGTAAGTAGGGAAAGCTCTCGGTGTGCTGCCACTGAGCGACAAATGGGTTTAGAAGGGACGTAATTGATGATTAAATAATCCCTTTGGTTGTATGTCAGAAGGGACTTTGAAGACTTTTCTCCGCCCACTTTACAGACACGTTCCATGAGACGCTGAAGCCCGTTGGAATCAAGGAGAGGAAGTACATCCTGGCCCTGAAGAAGCGGGAGTGCTTGATGAAGGGCTACCCGTTCGATGGGCAGATCCACGCCTGGGACCTGCCCTACTACATGAATCAAGTGGAGCAGTGCAAGTTCGCCGTGAACAAGGACAAACTGATCGAGTATTTCCCGCTGGACGTGGTGACGGAGGGACTGTTGGGAATCTACCAGGAGCTGCTGGGTCTCACGTACGCCGAGGTGGAACATGCCCACGTGTGGCATGAAGACGTGAAGCTTTACTCGGCCCGGGACACGGAGACGGGCGAGGAGATCGGCCAGTTCTACCTGGACTTGCATCCAAGGTAGAGAGAATGCAACTAACGGTTGTTTTCCTTTTATATTTTGTCCTGTCACGGGATTATTACGAATATCACAAAGGCCACGGTAATGTTCAGTTTGGATTGTTCACTGTCAATGAAGTGGAGATGCTACAGCTGACTACATGTTTAGTTATGCAAACTACGCATTACCTCATGCATCTCCACATTGGATACAGCTGGGTTTTAGGAAATATAGGTATTGTAAAATGACACACGTTTTTTGCAAAACACTACTGAGAACCCGGAATGAAATGTCACTAAATGTAATGTTTTACTACACAAATGAGTCCAAGATGTACAGAAGCACATGAACATGGTGCTGACAAAACCGGAATATTTATTTTCGATGTTTTCTTTCCACCAGTCTTAGAGAAGACGATAAAAAATGTACTTTGGCTGCTTTTGAATTGATTCATTAGTAAGTAAAGAGCTCATCTTCCGCCAGGGAAGGGAAGTACGGCCACGCTGCCTGCTTCGGGCTGCGGCCCGGCTGCAGAGGGCCGGACGGAAAGCGCCGGCTGCCGGTGGCGGCTATGGTGGCCAACTTCACCAAGCCCAGGAAAGGTTGCCCCTCGCTCCTCCAGCACCACGAGGTGGAGACCTTCTTTCACGAGTTTGGCCACGTTATGCACGAGCTCTGCTCCAAGGTAGGGCGCCGCGGCTGCACCCTCGGCCGGATCTTCATGCATGTGCGGTTAGAACGATAGAGCATGAACTTCTTCCCTTTTTGTTTTTTTGGTCCGCCTCAGACCACTTTCTCCGAATTCAGCGGAACCCTGGTGGAGACCGACTTCGTGGAGGTGCCCTCTCAGATGCTCGAGAACTGGGTTTGGGAGAAGGAGCCTCTGAGGAGAATGTCTCGCCACTACAAGGACGGCAGCCCGATCCCGGACACTCTGCTCGACAAACTGATCGCGTCCAGAGTCGCCAACACTGGTCAGACGCATAAAGATAAAAGATCTAAATGCAGACTATATGCACGATTCAAGTGTCCCGCTGACTAGTTGGTCCTCTTCAGGACTGATGAACCTGCGTCAGGTTGTCCTCGGCAAAGTGGACCAGTCGCTGCACGCCGGTCGGTGCGCGGACACGGCCGCGGTGTTTGCAGAGCACCACCAGGACATCCTGGGCGTTCCCGCTACACCAGGTCTGCAGGAGACGCGAGTAACTTTCAGCATTCAATTAGAGAATTGTAGATTTTTTTCCTTACAACTAGTCAATAGCTGTTGTCCGAGACCATTTCGACGTGATGACAAAGATTTGTTTTTCTGCAGGTACCAACATGACGGCCAGTTTCAGTCACTTGGTCGGAGGATACGATGCTCAGTACTACAGCTACCTGTGGAGCGAAGTCCACTCCATGGACATGTTTTTCAGTCGTTTCAAAAAGGAAGGCATTATGAATCCAAAGGTTGGTGTGATTATTATTATGTCTAATAAGACATGCAATTATACCCCAATAACTTGGAAGCATACATCTCTTTTGTTTTAATGGCAAATGTGTTCTACAGGTGGGGAGGGAGTACAGGAGGGTGATTCTGGAGGCCGGGGGCTCTGTGGACGGCCTGGACATGCTGAAAACCTTCCTCGGACGCGGCCCACGTCAGGAGCCCTTCTTCCAGTGCAAAGGACTGATTAAGTCGGGGGAAATAAAGGAGCTGTGATTTTAGATGTTCCTTAAGAGTCTAAAGTCAAAGCAATTTAGTGGTTTAATTGACTGGATGCACGTCCAGAAAAGTAGAAAACTATCAGTACTTGTTTTAAAATTTGTTTAATTGACGATTTTTACCTGGTGGCATTTGTTCAATTGTACAGCAGCTCACGAAGGGTCATCGAGATAATGCTTTATTTGTTTTATTCAGAGCAGTCATTTAATTGATAATGGTTGGAGACCCACAGGTGGTTCTTATAACATTAAAACTAACCTATTTGTTTTATTCAAGTGTCCCAGTAAGACAGCACGCACAATGACTGCACTATTTACACCTTTCCTGCGGTGTGAAAGGACACGCAATCGCAATTGAGACAAAACATTCTTTTGCACAGCTAAAGATTTGAACATAAGCACAAAGCGTTATATGTCTGGACGAAGCCTTAATGAGAACAACTGTGATACATCTCCTTTAAAATGAATAAAGCCATTATGAGGGAAAATCTACAAAAATAAGTTGTATAAAACATGTCAGTCACCATGTTTTGGAAGAGAGTTTGACACCAACTTGATTTGAAAAGCTGCCATGCGAGGAACGAGGTCACGCTCTGTGCACCAGGGGGCGCCACGTGATAGCAGATGTTGCCACGCGAGTTTTAAAATAAGACATATATACATGTTATTGTCGGCGTAACGCCTTAAATGCTGTAAATCGATTATCACGCGAATAAAAAAAGCCTGTGGCACATGCGGCCGCCGCCGACGCCCTAAACTGTTAATGCCTTTACGGACACAAGCCGACTGATTTAACGGCCTTATGGACTTATTCAAAACCGATCCATAATCTAATCAGAGCGAGATAAAACACCTCGTCGAAAGGAAACGGACCCCCTGCGAGGTGTTCCGGAGGAGGGAGGAGGGGGAGACGCATTGAAGGCATCGCCCGCGCGGCTCCGTGCAGCAGGAGGGCAGTGAGGGCTCGACTCGCCCCGGTTCAGCCTCCCCGCCGCTCCTCGCTCCTACGTGCGCAGAGGTCGCAGCGAAGGAAACCCGCTCCGTGTTGCTCTCGGACGGCCTCGGTGTCGCGTCGGAAGACTCCCGCCAGCTGCTCGGTTGAAAGAAAAGGAAGGAAGGAAGGAGAAGAAGAAACTGAGGGAATTATGAGTGGGAACATCTGGGTGCTGCACACTTTATCCGAGGAGGGCTCGTTCGCGTTTTCTGCCCTTTTTCGCGTTTCCTCGCCGAGCGTCGTGGACATTTTGGATTTTTAGTTAAGTGCTTTTTTTAATGCTTCTGTCATTAAGTCCGATTTAAGGGCTTTTTATTTTATTTTTTTACTGGAAGGTAGATACTTTTCACTTTATCGTGAAAAACAATTCGAGGGACGACACCGTCGAAGAACTGGAGGACGGTTGGTGCTGTGATGGGCCAGCTCCGACTTTCTCTCTGAGCGGGGCAGCATTAGCTCCATGCTAACGGCTAGCTCCGACTTTCTCTCTGAGCGGGGCAGCATTAGCTCCATGCTAACGGCTAGCTCCGACTTTCTCTCCGAGCGGGGCAGCATTAGCTCCATGCTAGCGGCTAGCAACCCCGCACCGAACCACCGTTAACCCTCGAGCGGAGCTGTGACGCCAACGCCCGCTCTCTCGACACATTATTTTTGTGTGTTTTGTTTTTTTGGGGGGAGAGGGAGGTGGGGGCAATACCGTCCCATCACCCGGACCCCCGCTGGATGAGACCTCGACTCGACAGTAATTCAGGTGAGTCTCTTTGTTTGCGTAACAAGTTTCGGGCTCCAGTTCGTGCTCGCTACCCCCCCCCCCCCCCCCTCTTAAACAACCAGCCATTCGGGATGCTAACGTCGCTGCTAGCTGCCTAGCATCCAGGTCGCGTTTCTCGCGCCGTCCCCGACTCTTGAGTTCTCATTCATTCCAGTCAATTGTGTCGGAAATATTAAGGTCAAAATAAATGTTGTCACCCCCCCTGTGCGTGTGTGACAACCGCCGTGTCCGCACCCGTGATGTAACACGCGTGTTTTGACGAGAGGTTTAAGCAGCTCTCTGTATTTATTTTGTCTTCGGTCAACAGCTGTAACGTTACACGTCTGCCTCCTTTTAAAAAAATAAATGTTTGCCCGACTGCCTCCTGGTTTATTCTGAGCCTCGAACAGATTAGTTCAAATTAAAACCACGGGGCGAATAATCGGGGAATATTCTTCTGCCATTCCCGAACATTGGTGTCGGTGTAACAGCTGCACTGCAGCAGCTCCATACGTCGGCTGTTTGTTTTGTTTCTCACCACCACTTCACTAATCAGATTACGGCCCCTGCTATTTAACTCCGATGTAATTTAATCCTGTTAAGATGTGTGATGGATGCGGAGTTAATCTCCACGTCCGATTCCCCAGATTTGGGGTCTTATATTTAAAGGGCAAAAAAATGCATTTCACCCGGTTTGTGCCTGTATGGGAATGCTGCCGAATAAAGCAGCTTGTACACAGATCTATTTATCTTTTTATTTTTTACAGCATCTCCGCTAAATCCTGTGGCAGGGTGCAACGTGTGTGTTTCCACAGAATATATAACGCTAAGGTAGGAATCCAGCAGGTATCTGGTGCATTAGCCAGGTAGCTGTCAGAGATCCGGAGAATGACTCCCCTGCATTAAAACAACACGCCTTGGCACCGAGGCCCGTCATTGCCATCGAGCAAAGCAGATATAGTATCTGATAAGCCTTTTGAAAGGCCATCACTGCGGTTGTAAAATGTCAACAAAGACCAGCCCTTATCCGCCGGACCGTGTCGTGGTGGCCAGCCGTGTTCTGATGGCTATCTTCTAGGCCTCTGGAGTGGTTTCTCTGCGTTCCTTTCCACATTGCACTTCTTTGGATCATTCCTCTAATTTTACACAAGACTGATCTTCAACATGAATCAAGGAAGCAAGCCGCCCCCCCCCCAGTGGAATGTTTCCATTGAGTTGCTGGCGAACATTTCATTTGTCGAGTTCCCTGTATGATCATTTACTACGAACTTTATCTGGAGTGAAAGATAAGGCCCTCTGCTGCACTGCTCTTATTCTCACACTCCTTCCAAAATAGTCTTGTTACGGAGGCACTTGCCAAAAGTTTGTGGTGCCACTCGGAGACGGAACGACGGCGAGGACTTGCCAATGTCCTATCTTTTATTACGCAACGGAAAAATGTTAGCCTGGCTCCGTAATGGTTAAACCATTGAGCCAGCACAGGGGAGGCTGTTTCACTTCATAATATAGAATTCCTGTTTTCCTTAAAACCGTATTTAAATTTTGCACCCCGGTGTTGGTTGCTGAACACGGTGTGCGTAGTGCGTTTTGTGTGAAATCCCTCTTGCGTGACCATATAAGTGCACATTTCCTCAGAGTTCAGCGGGTCTCTCCTCGAGTTGCCAGTTGCGAAAATGAAAAGAGAAACATTCTCGCTGCAATGTGTCAACAACGAAGCTGTCGACATAGAATGAAGAGCACGTGGTTTTTGACGACGGTCATGTGACGTTTGTTGGGGTTGATGACGTGCAGATACTGAGTTTATCCACGGAGGAATTGATCAGTGTTTCTTTGCTCTTTATTAAAAGATAAGAAGTTTGGCAGGTAGGGAGTGTGTGTGTGTGTGTGTGTGTGTGTGTGTGTGTGTGTGTGTGTGTGTGTGTAAGCAGCGCATGTTCTCGCCCTCCTCAGCAGGTGCACGCAGAGCGAGCTGTTTGCAGGTTTTTATTTCCTTTTAATGAGTCTGCTTCAGAGAATGTTTTATCCCCACAGAGCTGAAATAATTGGTCCATAAAGTCGGCAACTTGAACGTCAGAGCTACTTTTTCAAGCCGAATACGCCGCGGCGCTGTTGTTGTCATGTGGGGCTTTGGACTGTTGACTGGCCAGAACAAGTGGTTTGAGAACCTTTGACCGCCAAGCTGTTATGGGCATTTTCACTCCCCTGTGGTGACTCACTGCCCAAATGATTCATGAAGATAATCCACAGATTAGTCGGTGAATGAGTGTTTGTTTGTTGCACATCCGAAATCTGTTTTTATTGTTTCTAATTAGGATAATAAAGGCCCCTTGGGAGCTCTTCCTTTGCCATAGAGTTTAAATATGTGGTCTAACGGTTAATTTATCTTCTCCGGTCTGATTGTCCTTGCACGTTCTTGGCTCTTTCGCCACGGTGAGTCTAATAATGGCGGCAGATATTATATTCCATGAGCACTGAAAGCTACTGGCCTCTGTTATTTGAAGAAATACCAACTGGTCGTCCTTTCTTGGGAAACAAAACCGTATTTTTCCACGTTGTTCCCATGCTGAGGTGTCTGTGAGCCTGTGAGTGATCATGTGGGATCTATAGTAGACGTGGTGGTCCATACAAATGTTATCCCCTCATTGCTAAAGATAGCGCCTTGTGGCTAGCGTGGTCTAAGCAACCGGCTGTTTGTCTTTTCATTTTTTTCCCACTTATTCCAATATTTTAACTTTTCATCAGCTAGCCACTGGAAGACTGAGGCTCTCAACTCTTCCAGCTCGGCTACAAAAGCGAGCGAGAGAGCGGCTTTAACATGGCGTTGACATTTTAATCCGACTTCTGTTGCAGGCTGGCGCTCTGCACACAGTCTACGTGCTTGATCTGACCCACGTCTTTGTTTAGTCTGTTAGGTGAGATGCTGTCTTTGTGCATGCGACCCAACCGGTTTGGGTAGGAGTCGGTCCGTGTGGCGTTTTTGAATCATTTTTAGTCCCGCGTCGGATCAAGGTCGCAGGTCAGCCACCGGAGGTCAAACGGCGGTCGCGACCATGTGGCTCGGCGGAAGAACCGTGAACAAGATGGCACGGTGCGGGTATCTGTGTCTGTTCAGGAAGACGTTCGCCCCCTTCAAACCTTGTAAGATTTGCCTCTGTGAGCAAAAGTCAAGCTAGTGGCGCGCTCTCCGTAACGACAGATCACCATGGTAACGAAAGCCGACTTGATCTGGAGCAGGCTATATTGAGACTCGGGAGGTCCCGGGTTGATATTTATAATTCATAGCAACGTTGCGGTCCCACTGAACTCACTCGGGCTGTTTGAAAATCCCTGACACCTTTTCTATAGCAAGTGTGGGTTTAAGGCGCCGGTTTGTTCTGTTTTCAAAGGAACATCAAGTGTTTGGTGCCATTTCACCTTTTTGTTTTTCTCCCAAGGATGCTCAAAATTCACTTTTGGGGTGTAATAGATTCATATTTGGTCGACTCTTCTGTTGTGGTGATTCTGGAAAGGTGTGAGCGTGTTTAACTAACAACTTTGTTTTTCATGATGCATCAGTCAAGCTCTTGTTTATGGATTTTTCTTGGTCTGTTGCCCACTTGCTGTTTAAAGCTTAAGGAATAGCAGGTACATTATCCACACAGCTGCTGATCAATATTGAATGAATAGCCCTTTAAGTGCTGTGAAGGCCTTTCGTACACTAGATGCTCCGAGTGTGTAGTCGTGGGGAAATGCACTTATGCATAGTGTTTGTTTTGTTGTGCTCTGTGCATCCGCTCTCTCCCTAATAATTCGCCTACTTCTGTGACCCAGTTTGGAGAACATCTGTCTCCGCCTCATCCAGTCTTGCTGTTTATCAGCAGATATGTTCATAAAGCCAAATCCGTCTGCTGCTTGATTAAGACTCCACGCAGTCGACTGCCAGGGCTCCGCTCTCCCTACGCAGCGCTCGGAAAAAAACCCAATGAATTACAATGATGGAAAAATCATAAAGACATGCGTGTAAAAAAACAAAACTGTATAATATCCAGGGTCATCTTCAGCACGGTAGGGAAACATGTCAAAAGGCATCTGGTCTCGACCACACAACCTGAAAATGAGCGATGAACAGGAGAGAAAGATGTCAGCCGGTTTTAAGGCTGTATTTTGGCCGCAACAATGACGTCCGCTTACCTGCTCCACACGAGGAACTGAAAGGCCCTGCAGTTCGGTCCATGATGCATTGGACCACATTTAAATGAGTCCTTCGGGGTCCAATTGCTGAGTCATGGCGTTTTTGGGTGAACTCACACCTGTGTTCATACGTGAGCTGCTTAGTGTCGGCTCAGGCTGGCGTCATAATTCGAATGATTTATAATCTGGCTCGGGTTCTCGGGCTAATTGCTGGGTTTTGGCCTCCTGAAGAATCTCCGTGTTTGGTTTTTGGCGCCTCGCTCGCTGACCTCACTGCTTTGTGATGTCATGTGACCAACAGCGGTTTGAGTGTTTGCTGTGTGCGTCTGCCCGGATCGCCGACACCCGTTTTATCTGACAGGAATAGTCTGTGTGCCTCTGCAGATTCGAAATGGTTTTTGTTGCATGCGCTAAAGTGTTTTTCCTGCCCCCACCCCCCCAGAAATAATTTAATGAGTTTTTATGTACTACGAAGTACAGACTGAGTTTCTCAGTCATTGTTCAATGTGAAATATATTGCAGGTGCTCTCTCCCATCGCATGAATACAAAATTCCAATTTTTTAAATATTGATTTAGGAGCACACAAGCCGGTGACTGGTTGCTTCCTTGGTGACACCGCACAGATAAACAAACCCCGTGTTGTTTCACACTATGACTGCAGAGTGAATAAAAGGTGCCCCTGACACCCCTCCTCCCCAATTTGAACGTTGCTGCTTCTCGTGCACTATTCCATGTGACGGGGGGGGGGGACTTTTGTTTGGCAAGAGTCAGTATTCCAAATAGATGAAATGAGGATAAAGGCGCCTGAGAGGAAGTGGAGCAGAAGCTGATGGCCGTGCGTGGCGTCCAATGTGTTAGCAGCTGATTGGAAGATCCTATGAATAAGTCAAAATCTCTTTCACTCTCAGTCTTTCTCCTCCCCTCTCATTGCCTGTTTTTAAAAAAAAATCCTCCCTCCGTCTCTCCTGCTCTATAGCTCTATTGTGCAGGGATGATCCTATCTTTCTAGCTCCGTTGGCCTCAGATCAACTGGCAAAGCAAATACTTTTCTACTCCGCGCTGTGCTCTGACCGCAGAAGGCACTTTACGTTGCAATGTCGGCCTCTGGGTCTGGTCTTTTTTTATTTGTTGTTGTTGTTGGATAAAGTGGACTAAAGATGCCACTAACCAATTGTACACCGTATGTTGCTCTGATGCTGCGGCCGCTCGGTGAAACCCGTATGAGAACGGCTGAGGGTTCTCCGTGGTGAACGCTCATCTACAGGGCGTCCTCAGGCAGTGCTAACTTCAGTATCACCTAAACTTGATCGACCCCCCTTCCTCCCGTTCAGAAGCTCTTTGTAGTTAAAGAAGCATTTGCTCACATCAAACACACTGAACATTAGCTTTTACATCAGAGACCCAGGGAGGGGACGAGGTTCTTTTGACCTAAATCTGAGTGCTAATTAACACGCATCGTGGAATATGGGGAAAGACGTCTTCCAGTGGCTTCATGTGATCATTAGTCTGTTGAGGCTTTGGCCGCCCTCCAACACCACTCACAAGCGATTAGTCCGATGATCAATGCATCAACGTATTAATAACGTAATCGCAATAAATGATGCAGCATTCTGCACCAACTGTCACATTCGTCTTCATCTTATTGTCCCACTTTACAGCTGGTGTACATTGGCGAAAAAAATTCAATGTGGACGGCGTTTCACAGTGCAGTTAATTAGTTAGATCACCACTTGTGTAAAAATGAAATACTTTTTTACTGTTCAGTCAAAGATATTCTGCTTTTGTATTGTTGGCGGTTGGCATGTTGTTCAGAGCTCTGTTTCTCGTCATTGAACCTGCCGTCAGGCGCTAGTAAAGATCGACTGCTGAGGTTGTGAAAGTTGTCAATTATTAAACTATACTGGCTAACTTTTATGCTTTTTTCTGTAGTTGAAGTGCGAGAGGAATGCCTCCCTTTCAAAGCGGTTAGTTGTTGGTACGGTCTGCTTCATGGCTGTTTTTGTGCTTTCTCATTAGATAAGCACAGCGTGGCTGTTGGATCGATCATCTGCCATCCACTGGGATCCAGGCGCTTGAGTCCTAAATGACAAGGTATGTGAGTCGCCCCCTTTCTTGTAATGGCCTCTTCATCAGCAATAAGGGGACCAACACTGAACATACGGAGTGATTTCATTTTCTTGGCTTTGGATTCAAGTGACTTTCTTCGTAAGCAAACGCCTTTTTTGCATCACTTCTGGTCTCACGAAAGCGACGTATCTGTCGAGGATTAGTGCAACGGCAAGAAGAAGCTACAAGAGTTCCCCTCCCTGTTCTCCCGCAGGCTACGAGACACACGATACACTTGTCAAACTTGCTATTTCAGACCATCCCTCATTGACAAAGGAGTGCAACGCAGTTGAAACTCGATGGGGATTGCATCCAAAATGGCTTCCCGTTGAATATTCCGAAAAATATTGTTGCCATGTTCTTGAGGAGCCTCCGATTTTCACATTTTCTGTGGTGATAGTGACAGGAAGAGGTTTGAGGATTCCGCGTTGCGTGTTTGCTTCCACGTTTACTGTTTGTCGACTTGGTTTGTTCCATTTCCTTCCTCGCCGCTGTGTTTGCGTAACGCTCACACAGCTGGAGGCTTTGCATCACCTGCATTTGATACCTGGAGCCGAAACCAAGCCCAACACACCACTCTCTAATTTCCCCGTTTGGTCCATAATATGGATTTGTTTTTTCCTTTTTGGATAAGTGACCACCGAATCACACGGTCAGTGAAGTATTGACGATTACGAGGCTCCGGTACGCAAACAGGTCATCGGCGCTGAGATCAATACAGTTTAAGGGCTGATACTGTCGCCCATTCATGCACACATCGGCCGTGCTTAGCTGCTGGTGTGTAGTGGGGACGGGCAGCACCAGTTCTTTATAGATTAACACTCGGTTAGATATCAAAGCCGGAAGGTTGGTTTCCTAGAAAAACGACTGATAGCCACCGTATTGTGATTATTATGATCCTACTCTTCCAATAATTTTTCCAGCCGTAGAACTATTTTGGTTAAATGTTTATGGAAGAAATAATGGGCAATTTGCAGAGTGTGAGAGACTCGTACAGAAGTGCTGAAAACCAGCTTCTTAAAGCCAAATAAAATGTGTGATATCTGTTCTTTGTACAGTTAAACACACGTCTGTTTCTTTAGTATCCGTGTTCAGTATACACATGCGTGTGTAAGCCGACATACTATGCTGCATTGCTTTGTGCCTCTCACAGTTTAGCCTTTTTAGAACCGTATTTACTGAGCAGACTGGGGAACGTTTTCCATGTCCATACTCTCCTGTAGGCAAACACAGAATGTGGGTTGTCTGCATGGATACACGTCTCTGACCTGAATGCCTCTGACCTGGTTATTGAGACTCTGCAAACAGCTTCTCGCTCACGTGGACCAACGCGCAAAGAGACACAAAGCCCTGGGTCTCCTTCCCCCCAGGAAGCATCACCTCTTGAAACCACGGCTTTTTAAATGCAATGTTTAGACGTTCAAAGCCATGAGACAAGATCTCGGTCCATTGGAGCACCACGCAAAGCAAACGTTACGATTTTTACCTTCAGTGTGTGCTGAATAGATTTAAAATGATTTCTTTTTATGTCTGGCTCGCTACTTTTCTTTCCACGGGTCTGATTCTTTTTCCATCCTCGGCCATCTGTGTGTTTTTAAGCTCAAACACAATCTGCCCTTTTTTTTTTTTTTACAGAACCTGAAAAACGGACTGTACTTTTTTTTTTTTTTTTCTTCCGAGTTGTTAATAAGGGCTCATGTCATTGTTCAGGTCTCCTCTTTGCAGGAATGAATCTCATGGGCTCATATTTAACTGGATCCCATATTTAATTAAGGTCTTACCGGCAGGGGGGGATTTTTGAGCGGCCCACTATTTATAACCTCCGTCTTCGCCCCGGTTACGTTTTAATGAGGAACAAACTGCTTTCCAAAGACGTCTGACCCGAATCTATTGATTTATGTTCTTTCTTCTTTAATCCTATGGACAAAAAAAAACTTCTGCTTCAAGCTCGGGGTTCATCGAAAACCACTCAATTTGTTTCCCACGCCTTTTTAGAGGAGAGCAGAAGCTCAGGAAAAGGTGGTTTTTCTTTTTTTTTTTTTGCAAACCGTTATGCAAAACCCTTCATGCAGGTCAGCAGCAGAGCTCTTCCTCTTGTTTCAGCTTTTAGCCTGTCACATTGGGTTTGCAAAATGCATGCGTCTGCCGTGTAGCACTCAGAGTCCAGTAAGACCTTGCAAACACTTCTTGCAAGCGGCCCAGCTCACTAAGCGTGGTTGCATGGATTCGAATAACTGGCTTAGTCGGACTGAAATCGAATTATCGATTTCATGTAAACACCTTTGTCCGACAGTGCGGTCCGACTACGACCCGACTAACACCTTGCTCTCCGTTTGCCATCTTTCTCGTAATGTTGAGGTTGTTGGTAGTGGTGAAGAGGTCAAGGGGAAATGGCTGTATCACAACTAGTTATAATGAAAACAGCGCCACCTATCGTATCGGATATGACGTGCTTTCGGCCAATGATTCGATTTATTCACTGCCATGTATATTGGGATAATAGCACCTCCCCCCCGAAAGATTGCATAGTCCGACTAAGCAAAGATTCGAATTATACCATCATGTAAACTCACTGACTGATATCCGCAATACCTAGTCAATAAGCGTTTCACTTTGCACACCGGCCTTCCTCCACATTTGTTCTACAATAACACGCACACGATGATTTGTGACTTGGTTCTCTTCTTTTGTGAGACCTGCCTACATTTTTTCTTTTCTTTTTTTTAACAAGATCAACATTAGCAAAGTGAGACTGTTGCGGTGAGCTCGTCTCACGGGGCCGCCTGTTGTTGTCTGCACAATCGTCGTCAGTCTTCGCGTTGCCAGGAAGTGGCTTTTTAGAGACGCAACAAGGTATTCCATAACAGTTCTGAAAACCTTAGCCAACGTTTGACCTGCGACATGGTGCGTGTGGAGCTGTGACGTGTGCACTGGTTCTGTTCAATATTGACAAATAGGCTTAAATACATTCATGTTGTTGCCAATAGATGTGAGAATTTATGATATCAAGTATTATTATTATTATTATTATTATTAGCATCATCAATCTCCCACACTGACGTTATGCTGAAGCTTTTTCCTTCCTGCTCTAATTTGGCGTGTCTGGCTAGAGCGCGTGTAGGAATAGGTTACTTTACCTGCTGGCACGAAGGTCACAGGGTGAACGTGGTTGTTAATCACCTCGCTGCGTGGAACGGAGGACGTAACCTTCTGGCCGCGGACCGCTCCGTCCCTCTCCGGGGGGATCCGTGACTTCTCCGTGACCTGAGAGCGGTGAAGACCAGAACAAATGAAGTGGAAGGGGCAGCACATACGTTTTGCCCCGAGGCCCGTCCGTGGGAAGAACGTGGGAATTATTTATCAGAGTAATTTATGATCGCACAGGTACCTGTATGGAATGTGAGTATTTCCAATCCTCGGCGCCGCGCGCCGGGCTGAGTGTGCGCAAAGTAAATGAAACCCGTTTCAACTAGAGTGGGTTTCAAACGACGCCAAATGAAAGGTGGAACATTTAAACGCTCCATTTCAATTTGGGGGTGTCATCGGTGTGCTGATTATCGTATGATCATTATTATTGTTGTTGTCAGCCTGTGCTGTGTGTGTGTGTGTGTGTGTGTGTGTGTGTGTGTGTGTGTGTGTGTGTGTGTGTGTGTGTGTGTGTGTGTGTGTGTGTGTGTGTGTGTGTGTGTGTGTGTGTGTGTGTGTGTGTGTGTGTGTGTGTGTGTGTGTGCGCGCTGCATAGTTAAACGGTGTGTTCGGGGTCAACTGAGTGTGTCTGTGAAAGTGGATCCACTGAGCAGATACTTTCTTCCTCTGTGAATACTGGGAAGTCTTTGTTTTATTTGAAGCATTTCCTCCCGTTTAGCGATCTGTTTTCTCTCTCTCTCCATGATCTGCTGAGAGGTTTCAGTGTGCGCCGTCGTATCACAGCGCAGATATAAAGAAACTAATACGTTTAGTGGGACTTCACAATTGATATCTTTAAAGAATATTCTGGTGTGTGTGTGTGTGTGTGTGTGTGTAAATGACCAAATGAATACAGATCTTTTGTCATGATGCGTTCAGTCCATCGACCGATGCTGTAAAAGGCCACTCTGTCTTTGTCTCAGATCCGATTACTTGCCCTCATTTCTCAACCAATTCAAAGAAAACAATCCTGGTTTTGTTTTCCGAACTTTTTGAAGAACAAAGGAAACTTGCAACTTCCGGGAAAACCCAGACCGGCGGGGAGAGGGAAACCGTAACATCAGGTTCCACTGAGATAACCCCCCACACCCGCTCTCCCCCTTTTCTGTTGCTGAGTTTTAATATTCACGGGTTGCTTCCTTTTAGTTTGGGGGGGGGGAAACTCCAGCTGGGAAACCAGTTTTACTTTCCATTCAAAACTAAACTGCGACTGAGCTGCGAGGACGTTCGCTTTGTGAGATCTTTCTTGTAGCTCTGCCACTTATCACTCCGCAGCAGCGCTCGCCGCTGTAGAGGCAGATTACGGAGACGTGTTAAAACCTTCGCCGTCTAAATATCACGTGGGTCACGCCCGTCTTCCTCTGTGACGTGTCCGAACCCTGAGAGGGCGGTGGCTCGGTCAGCGGTCCCGCCGCGGCCCCCCTCGGCCCAACGCGCTGCTGCATTATTGAGGAGCAGCTACCCCCCCGTGGTGCCGGTTGCAGCTGGATGTTAATGAGGCGCCCGGAGGAGAGAAGGTCATTCCTCTGCCCTTCGCCAAAGATGTTCGCACATTCCTGCATACAGTTTAATACATGTATGTTGTAGTTGCTGTGACATACATCAGTTGTGCTGCACAATACGCCTCTTGAGGGTTGTGTAACTTATGATTTCCTCATGTGATAACCCGTGAGCTTTATCCGAGTCCTACTTGCAAAGAGGAATCTTTCTTTCCGCGTTGGGTTGTGAATAATTGATCACGCCCCCGGGGGGGTAAAGGACTTGATCCCACGTGAGGAGAGTTGGCGCTGCGTTACAGCAAGATTGAGAACGAGGCTGAAGCGTTGAGGAAGTGACCGTTTTTTTCCTTTTCGTTCACAGACGGAGGCAATTTAAGTCCCACGGGCTCCGCATACTCTTATGCGTAGTTGTTTTTTTTTTTTTTCCCCTGCATTGTTTTTGTTGCCATAATCTGTAATAGAGAATTTCAGCTGTGTTCCGGCAATCCCCTCCAGAGGCCACCGCAATCTGGATGAAAAGCTCCTTTCATAAGGCGAGGGCTCGCCCGTACTAATCACATTCTGTCAACCAGACGAGTACCATTTGCTATAAATATCACAAGCTGCTGTCCTATGCTGCACTTTTGTTTTAGCGCTCGCGCACACACACACACACACACACACACACACACACACACACACACACACACACACACACACACACACACAGACAGACATAACAGGGTTCAACCATACCTACGGGGCCCATTTTAAATGCATATTTTTTTTAGTAGGCCGCAGTCATCTGAACAACAGGAACACCTGCAGCAGAAGCTGATGTTCAAGGACTACGAGACCTTTTGGGGGAAACCCAATCTGCCCGTCCGCCTCCTTCAGAATCTCCTCTGACCAGGCGACAACTTCTTTTGCAAAGCCTCCTGAATCTCACCAGTCGATTTCATTCTTCCACACAACGCCGTGTATTTCTTTTCTCCTTTTTTTTCTGTTCTGCGTTTTTTGTTTTGTCCGAAGCTCTTGTTGAGAGCTGCACCCTTGACCCCGCAGTCTCTATGGCAACAGCAATGACCCAGGAAGCACTTGAGCTTCTGAGAGAGAGAGGTTGTGACAGGGAAGTGGTTTCCTGGCTCCGACCGGGAGAATAAAGTGGGAATCTGTAGCCGGCCTGCCCTCTGGACTGTTTCATTCACTGCTGCTTAGAGATCACTGTCAGGCGTCTGAATCACATGCCCCCACAGTCCCACATTTAGACATCTCTGAATAAATGCAGCTACTGTGTTTTTTTTTCTTCTTTTTTGATCGACTTTTTTCATCATTTCACGGCTACCAGGCCAAGCAGTTAGTAGCACACGGGGCGAAGTAAATGTGCTGCTTAAGTAGGCTGAGGAAGAAAATCTCGGCCCGAGAGTTTAACCATCAAACGTCGTGAACTTTTTTAGATCAAAAGTCAAATGCTCTTTATGGACTAAAGCTGGGCGAATGAAGGCGGTCATCCTTCCAATAACATGTAGGTCAGTGGATAAGCTCATCTCTGAAGGCTGCGTGGTTCTCATTAGTGCGCTGCCTTCCGGATTGCTCTTAGTGGTGGTGGGGGGGGCACAGTTATACACCCCATTTCCCATTCTCTCCATTCTACGGCAGGGTAAATGCAGCACATTAATAGCAAGAAGAAAGTGTCACTAAGCAGGTTGGACAAGGGTGAGCGGGCTCTGCAGATCATCTGTATCGACGGGCATTGTTGCCTGTATTAATTTGCATGCCTAGTCTGACTTCCTCCCGCGAGGATTGCTTTGTTTGTGGAGCTCCGTAGATCCAGTTTTGGTGTTTGAGTGACTGACTCACAGGGCTACCGGGTCGGCGTCTCACTTGGCGTGTAGATGACATTGCGCAAGATGGTTTTGTTCACAAAGGAGGAGGCGCACAATGTTCTGCCTTTTGTCTTTGTAAACAAAGCCCCATAATGGACCAAAACAAACCTGTTATTGTTGGTCTAGTAAAAAGCCCATTAGCTTGCTAGACTTGCAGACACTCCCATGCTGAACTAGGATGGGGAGGCGGGCCGGTGGACCTGACCCTCGCCCTCTATAGACGGTCTCCATGTTTCTGTGCGTTAGATGAAGTCACTCAGGAGGAATCCGGAAAGCGAGATGAGCTCCTTCTGCCCGCTGCAACACGCTCACCACGTTCGCGCTCCACTTCCTCACATCTACGTCTCATCTCCCGGACTTTCTCATGACACTTTATCCGCTGTCGCCCCTCAACAGCCTTCTCTTTCATACCCCCCCCCCCCCCCCCCACACCTCTTCTCCTCTAAACAAAATCGCACTCCCGCTTCTCCCAGAACTCCCACTCCGGCATGGGGGCAACCATATGCCCCGGGCCTGTTACTCCCGGTTGACAAGAGCCAGCCCTCGGGCATCCCCTCTGGGGATAGACCAGATTACTCAGAGTATTTATACATGAGCAGCCTGCCGCTAAAGCAAAGTGCGTGTGCGGCTGACAGCCTCTTTGTTGTGGATCCCTCGCGGGATTGTGGGCGTGTCCACGCACTTATTTAGAAAACCAAGAAAACTTTGGACTGGTTTGAAAGTTTGCAACCTTTCAACCCTTTTTGTATTGTAAAAACAATAATTCCTCAGTGCATCTGTCTACTGTGCTGATTTCCTTTTCCCCTTTTTGTTATTCTAACTACTGCCGAGCCGTGCTTTTCAATTCTCACTAACCACATATTTGCAGAAATGTGTACGTCGGCTAACCGAGGCGATTTACTGTACTCGGTTGACGCAATGTCAGAGAAAAACACTGACTTGTGTAATCTAGCAACTCCTGGAACGAACATGTGGACACACGCACACGCACACGCACACACAGGTTGGACGCCGCGAGAAAAGGACTGAGATTATTTGCTGCCGCGGCGCTCCGATTAGGACGAGGGGGAGGAACGGCCGCATTCTCCGCGTGCCCCGAGGAACAAAGCCTCTTTTGACCAGAACACATTCCATGCTGTATAACATTCCATATTATACCTACATCCCTATCAATGGTTAAAAGAAGAACTCTCCTCAAACCCGTAAGCTCCAAACACGAAGGAAAGCCGAGGAGATTTTCTGGCTTTTTAATACCGCTTTCATTTTCAAACCTGTCCTGGATTTCAGAAAAGACGACTTATTCACGGCTTACTTTCTTTCTGCGTTTTGAGCCTCTCCCTTCAGCCCAAATGAGGATGCAGCAAACCCACGACGATGGGCGGCTTCTCGTTTCTTCTACCTACGACCGTTTAAAGTTTCCCCACCCGAAAAAACAGAAATGAGAAGTTTCCAACGTGTCGGGCTTCTGTTTAAAAGTTGCACTAGACTTTCCTCTTTTCCCCCGACATATCCCCTGTTTTCCCTTCTCCAGTGCCTGAGGATGTCCAAGCGGAGCTTTTTTGTTCGCCTGGTGCCATGCCGCTGCTTGCGGGGTGAGGAGGAGGCAGTGACATCGCTGGACTACTCCCACTGCAGCCTGGAGACTGTTCCTAAGGAGATCTTCAGCTTCGAGAAGACCCTGCAGGAACTCTACCTCGATGCCAACCAGATCGAGGAGCTGCCTAAAGTAAGGCTGATGTATAGAAACGTGACATTCACCTGTGTGGCCCACCAAATAGAGACCAGCTTTTGTCTTATCAACAGCTTGCATTGTTGACACTTTGTCCTTTTGGACAGAAAAACTCATGAATGACGCTGTTGAACTTCTGAAACAATCAGGACATTTAATAAATGGTGGATTCTTAGTAAAGCATGCGCTTTTGTTTTGTTTTTTAAAACAAAACCTTATCTATTCTGTCTCTCTGTCTCCCTTTGTCCACCAGCAACTGTTTAACTGCCAGTTACTCCACCGGCTGAGCATGCCAGATAATGACGTGACGGTGCTGCCGGCGGCCATCGCGAACCTGGTCAATCTCAGGGAGCTCGATGTCAGCAAAAACAGTAAGCAAAATCTCCCCCCCCCCCGGTGCGCGTGCTTTTGATTGGCAGGTTTAGTGAGCCATGCAACACCGAGGCATCGGATCAGGTGGCGGAAACCCGAAACCCCGACCACAGCCGCAGGTCCAGAGGCCTGTTAAGTTCAGACGTCTAACGTCCCCCCGGCGTCCGGGTGTTTGTAGTGACGGCGTCCGACGTACATCACTAACAAAGCGCAGAGAGGAGCGAGTCGCGCGAACGACCCCCGAGGTATTCTGAGGTGAAACGCCACGTTGCTCAAAAAAAGCCTCTTACGGGACGGATACAGGAAGTGGACAGGCCCAGACCTGCGTTGTGCTAGACGGCAGATTATGGCGGGTTTATAGACACATCAAAGCATCTCGTCGGTGGTTTCACAGAGGTGGGAGGTGACAACATCTGCAACGTGCAACTTTCACCTTTAGGATGAGCACTCGCGCTTCTGAATACGAAGCGGGGCTTTCTCCTGGAAGTCCTTTCAATTTTGTGCCTGTTTGATGAAGACTTTCCGCCGTCTTTGTTACTCATCTAGAAACGAGCCTTTTGTAGCGCTGTCATGTCTCTGGTCTGATCCCTCTGCTGTTTAAAGAAAAAGAAACCACCCTGTTGCATACTCCTCACAAAAAGGTCTCGCTTCAAACATTCTAACATGAGCGTCACCCAAAGCGACGCACGGCGCTCTGCAGCTCGCTGCTGAGGAGGGTTGATCATCGTCAGGAGAACAGAGGAGGAGTTTGCATCATCAGCAAAACCCGCCTGCGTGCTAGCCGCAAGGTCAAAAGGCTCCTCTTATAAATGAATGAGTGCGGAGACAGAGCAGATTAAACAAATGGTGGAAGGATGTGGTGGCGTGCTCGCTGAGCGGCGCTGCGTGTGCCGTGTTGACGTTAACGGCTTAACCTGTTTCGCGGAGCACTCTGCGCTGAGTGTTGTGGACACAAAACAAAGTGGGTTGACATAATCCTTTCCATCGGCCCCTCACGTCCTCGGCTCCGACAGGGGGTCGTTCCTGAAGTCCCACTTAATTATATTTGTGGCTTCGCTGTTTCTCTGCAGGTATCCAGGAGTTTCCGGAAAACATTAAGAACTGCAAAGTCCTGGCTATCGTAGAAGCCAGTGTGAATCCCATATCCAAGTGAGTACTGCCCGGCCCGGATGTAGCGGCCTGAGTTGTCTCCTCGCAGATTTGTGCGACTGATTCCTGTGTGTGTGTCTTTTGTCAGGCTCCCAGATGGATTCACCCAGCTTCTGAGTCTGACGCAGCTCTACCTGAACGATGCCTTCCTGGAGTTCTTACCGGCCAGCTTCGGCAGGTCAGTAGACCTCAAATACACACGCGGCCGTATTAACTGTGTGCTTTGTGTTGAAAGAATGACACAGACTGTCTTTTGTGTGATTTTAACTTACTCTGGTTCGCGCTTGAAGCATCGTTTTCCGATCTCAACAAGGAGACGTTTTTCACACAATCAGGGAAATCCAATGATCATGATGCTCGTTAAGTGCCAGAGGTGTAAATAAACAACCATTCTGTTCACTGGAAACATTAAAGGTGATGCTATGTCGGTGTTGTCTTCACAGCTGTGGTTTCCTGCCCAAAATGGACCCATAACACCACTTTTGTACTGTGAAATAACACCCGTGATAAACATTATTGCTTCGGCTTGCATTTGAATGAGCGTTTAGTGTCCAGGTTCCTTTTAGTCTTTTGTTTTGGTTGTTTTCATCATGCTCCTATTGTTTTGTAGCTGACGCAAAACTCCGTGTTAAGCTTTGTGATGACGCAAAAACACGTGGTGGGAGTGGCTCAATATGTGATGCCACTAATTCTCCTCACCACTTAATCCCAATTTTCTCCTATGAAAACCCTTTTGCTTTCTTTATGGTCAGCCGATTTAATTCCACATAAAGCTACGGGGCTATTTGGTTTAATTCTTTATTTTGACAAATTAATTTAGCACATGTTCAAATATCTGAACTTGGTGATTTTGCCTTTTCTTGGGAAGTACAATCTCATGTAATTATGGTAAATAAAGCCAGCTGCCTTATGAGGATCTTGGACTGTCGTTTAGAAATTACCGATGGGATATTTTACGAATATGACCTCTGCTTTTTTTATGTGTTCAGGTTGACTAAACTACAGATCTTGGAGCTGAGGGAGAACCAGTTAAAGATGTTGCCAAAGTAAGTCCTTTTTTAGTATTTCTTTTCTGCATCACCATTGCCAAACACCAAATGGATGGCGTTTTACTCCCGCCAGGAGTCATATCTGGCGTGTGCCACCCGTTTCTCCCCTTACCCTCGAAACCCGTGCAATGTCTCCGCCATGTCCTCATCATTCGCTCCCCGTCCCTCTTAACGGGAGCATTAAATTCCACAGTGTTACACAAGAGCCTCATTTGCTCGGCTGCTTGCTGTGGCAGGTTTTATAATCCTCCACTGAGACAGTGAGGGTTATTTCCCCATTTGAGAAGGTTACAGTGCCGCCGGGAGACGAACCGTCCCGAAGACGGTGAGGAAAGCTCTAGGTGATTGTGATGGGAGGCTGCGCTCTCTCTCTCTCTCTCTCTCTCTCTCTCTCTCTGACTCCTCTCATGCTTCACTGACTGTATCATTCAATTTCCTCTCCTTCCCTTTTGGAGAACTGCATTTCCCCCCATTTTCCTTTCACGTCCTTCCTCCATGCGAGTTTCCTTTTGTTATCCGGCTCACTTTCCTCTTCTCGTTCTCCCCTGACCGACCGACCGACCGACTGGGCCGGCGGGTGCGTAAAGTGCAGCGGATCCTCTCTCCTCGCCGTGTTTATGCGACGAAGGCCAGACCTGTTAAAAGCTGGAGCCCTGACAAAGGGAGGGGGGGGGGACCCGGGACTAATGATCGGGAACGTTGCCAGAGCAGCACGCAAGCATTTGGGAGATGTAAACAAATGTGTGTGTGTGTGTGTGCGCGCACAAAGGGGGGCACAGCTCAAGCCGTCGCAGGGCCCCCGTGTAGAATGTGCAGCCTCTTTTCTCCCGACGCATCGAGCCAACGGTTGGCCGAGTTTTCAAAAGAATGATGCCGCGTCCCCCACAAGCCGGGGTCATAAGTGGAAGTGTGGTTTAAATTTTTTTTTTTTTTTTTTTTTTTTTAAATCTCCTTTCTAGACCAGCCAGCACGGCTCATACCCCCCCCCACCCCCTTTCAGCTCAACGTGGGGCACTGCGGCGGGCTCGCCAACGTAGGGCGCAGGAATGTGACAGAGCTGGCTGATGCTCAACTCCGCCGGCACGATTAACGTCTTGACATCGCACAGCGCGTTACGAAAATCACCAGGCCGCTTAAATCCTATTTGTAATTCGTGCAGTCGGCCTCGCCGTCTCGTTTTGCGAAGGAGCACCTAGAAAGGAAACCGACTCTTTGCTTTCCGTTCCCACTGGCGTGCGAGAGGAGGACGCGGTTCTGCCCCCCCGTCGTGAGCGGATCATTGTGTCTGTTCCCAAACATCGCTCTGCACGTCTCCATTTCGTCTCCGGTCCGAGTCGCTCTTTGCGATCCTCTCTCAGGGAATGTCAGGTTCCGAACGGAGGTTGATGAGAGAATCTCAGAGCTTCGTCGTGGCAGAATTATGAAATTTAAATGATTGACCCGAGCGTGTGTTATGAATAATTCAGTCTTCCATCAAAGACACTAAAACTAAGAGCAAACAAACAGTGTGTTCATATCAACTCTCATTTCGGGGATTAGTTTGTGCTTTGATTCACGATACATTTAACATATTCTGTGATTCTCACTTATAATGCTGCTGTTGCAGGTTTAATCTAGTCAGTATTTAGTGGTAACATACATAAACCATTTATGAATATTTCTGTCCCTGCTAATCAGCCGAAGAAGAGGAAGTGCTTAAGCAGCTCAATAGTCCTGGTTTGTATCTGCTTGTTTACAGCGTAGCAGAGAATGTGACCTGAATGTGGAGGAGAAACTCTGGAGCGCCGCTTGGGGCTCGCATACGTCACATTTTCCATTATTCAAAGCATATTTCCGTCACGCCTGAGCTGTTAACGTTAACATTTATTTTCCCCGCAATATCATTCAGCGAAACGAGGAATGGCAGCGCATGGATGACAAAACAGAACCTGAAACGGGGCTAGATTTCCTTGTGAAAATCACGGCCCGTTAACGCGGCCGCTTGTCCCGTCGGCGTGAAGATCTCACTCCCCCGTTTGTCCCGTGTGTCCACAGGAGCATGCAGAAGCTCTCACAGCTGGAGAGGTTGGACCTGGGGAGCAACGAGTTCACTGAAGTGGTGAGTATCTGCCCGTCGGCCCGGCGCTCTCCACCCTCTTCCCCTCCTGCATTTATGACATTGACCGTCACAACGCCGCATCCCATGAGTTTTAACCTCCCGTCTCCTCACTCCATCTGCAGCCTGAGGTGTTGGAGCAGCTGTCTGGAATCAAGGAGCTGTGGATCGACGGGAACAGACTGACGTTTTTGCCCGGGGTAAAATTTACAGTCCCATCTTAAAGGCGCCGTGCCGAACGTCACCTAGCGATTATTCCTCGCTCGAGTCGTCATCAAAGCAGAGGAGAGAATCTTTGAAGCGTCTCTTACAGAAAACAATTCAGACTTTTGGGGGTTTGCAGATGTCTCAATGATGATTACAGAAATCTGCAATGTCTCCAGTCATCATCGATGATGCTCAGATAGTCAGAATGTCTTACATCATCCAAAGGACCAGCTTGTTTGTAACCGGGTGATAATTAAAACATGGTTTGAGCCGCCAGCAGCATCAACTGTAATCACACTGCGGTCTTTTTTTATTCAGTGGCGTCTGTCAGGACTAAAAAACCCAAACAGAAACTCTTTTCCTTTTTTTAAGTGTTTTCACATTCAGCAAAATGCAGAAACGCAACCAGAGATCATCAGCTCTGGGATTTTCCTGGTTTCTGAGGATGTTTTGTGGATTGCTTTATCTTATATGTATCTTTCAACACTTCTGCCTAATCCCTGGATAACAAGCATCCCAGTGAACAGTCTGTATTCATCATGTTTCCCCTTTTTATTCATCCAGATGGTGGGGACACTAAAACAGCTGGTGTACCTGGATGTGTCCAAGAACAACCTGGAGATGGTGGACGAGCAGATCTGCGGCTGCGAGAATCTGCAGGACCTGCTGCTCTCAAACAACGCGCTCACACAGCTGCCGGGCTCCATCGGTAAACCTCACGACTCCTTCTTATGAAACACCTCCACTCCCTTTCAGCGACTGCCAATGCGCTGTTCATTCCGCATCCACCACACCGTTTCTTCCAATTGCACAACGCCACAGGTGTCTTTTTTTTGTGCTTTAAACAAAGAATTTGTACGTCGTAAATATCATAAATAATAATTTGTATAGCTTTGTGCTTTATATCCTTATATGGTCTTTCTTTTTGGATAATGTGCCGTCCTTTTTTTTTTTTTTTTTTGCTTTCATGGATGAATGGACATTTTAAAAGCAACCCCCGTCACATTTGCGTCAAACTGATCAACTCTCTGTCATAGTCATATGTTAAATATATAGATCTTAATGAATATGTTGATTGTTATTTAAGCATTGTTTGTATGTGAGTGCTTTCCTCATTAATTCATAGCGATCCAGGTGAGTAATGTCATACAGCCGGGATTGGTTCCTGCTAAACGGATATTGGTATCTCTATTGTATTAATACAATTTAACTGCTGTGACGGATACTGCGACAGCCAGGCATAAACAATAACCATCTCCGAGCTGTTGTTTACGTCCCGCTAATGGTCTCCTGGTGTTTTAACTGCAGGCTCACTGAAGAAGCTGACTGCGCTGAAGGTGGATGAGAACCAGCTGATCTACTTGCCGGACTCCGTTGGAGGGTGAGCGTCACGGCGCCGGCTTTGATATCGTCAGAATGAAACCCTCAGATCAGTGGAGCGTCGTCGCTGCTTTCATCTGCATGGACGCATAAAAAACCGTCTGTCCGGGTTAATCGGATATTAATAAACATGTTGTTTTCCGATGATGATGATGATCTCGAGTAACTCGATTTGCGGCCGTCATTATGAAGTACACGTCATGGTCCCGGGTCCGCCGTGCAGATTCACGGCCTCGGGTCGGTTTCCTGTGGCGGATCGTAATCTCAGCTGACCCTTCGATGCACGGCCGATTAACTCGACCGCTGACTGACGATGTCCGCTGCAGCTGCTTTGTTCATAGTCGTTTCCAAACAGCAGCAGCGCTGTCAATCGGCCCATATGTGTAATGCTTCTCCTTGTGTAATTTCACACAGATTATGGGCCAAAGCCATCGGTTTATCGTAATCCCACGCAAGCTGATTTTATTTCAAGCAAGCGGGTTTTTCTTTACTTCCTTTTTAATGTAATATACTTAATTGATTTAATTCAGTCAATGGTTTGTGCGCGGTTTTTATGTTCCACAGAGACGGCTCAAATGTGTTTTTAAAAGTTCACAGGGGCTCATTCATCGGACTCATTTTTCATCCAGCAGAAAGCTGCTCAGCACTTCTGTGTCAACATGGTCTCTCACTTGGAATTGTTGCTGCTTCAGATCATCAGTGTTGTAAATGTCTAAAAGTGTTTCACTGTAACGTATCGCTACAATTGCTGGTGGGATAAAGAGTTGATCCTTGTTGTTCGAATTTGATTCCGTCTCTTTCGACCCCGAGGAACTACGCCACTAGATTACAACTTGTTTCACATTAGCTGTAATCTGCTGTAAATACAGTAATCACCCGCGTGATGAAAGTCCCCCCCTGTGTTCAGACTGGCATCTCTGGACGAGCTGGACTGCAGTTTCAACGAGATCGAAGCTTTGCCCACTTCCATCGGCCAGTGCGTCAGCATCCGCACCTTCGCTGCGGATCACAACTTCCTCAGCCAGCTTCCCCCCGAGGTGAGTGTGCACGTGGAGCGTTGCGGAACGTCCGCTCAGCTGTAGCGGCGAGCCCCCGTCGGCTCACGGCTCTCCCGTCTTTCTGCCGCTTTACAGATGGGCAACTGGAAGAACGCGACCGTGCTGTTCCTCCACTCCAACAAGCTGGAGTCTTTGCCCGAGGAGATGGGGGACATGCAGAAGCTCAAGGTCATCAATCTCAGCAACAACAAGTGAGTCCACACGGACGGTTTTCAATAGTGGAGGTCAAGTTGAAGGGGGGGGTTCTTTTTGGGATATTTTGACATAATTGTGAGCCGTTTCTTGTCAAATTTAATCTGTTTTAGATCATTTTATTGAAATATGTACTGCGTGTATATATATAACATTTTGAAAGGCATTCCTGCCGCCCTGCAACATCGTGGTCATAATTTAGAATCTTTATTCTGTCGAGAATGAAAAGGGGCTGTTATGGATCGCTCCTGGTTTCTGCTCTTTGGCAAACACACTGAACACCGTTGGCCACCACTTAAAGTCCCCGTGCTTTTTGTTTTTATCTCGCTGCAGGTTGAGAAATCTTCCCTACAGTTTCACTAAACTGAACCAGATGACTGCAATGTGGCTGTCCGAAAATCAGGTACGTCCTCACGTTTTGATTTACGGACCTCTTGTGTCAAGGTTCGAGAGTCTTGACGCGAGTATGAGAAGCTGCAGGTGTATTGATCTCAGAAAACCATACTTGCCCACAAAAACTGTGGCAAGTATGGTGGCTTTCAGCCCAGTTCACCTCCGGCCCGGGGAACACGAGAGACGTGACGTTGCAGACGGCACACTCGAGCCTCCTTCTTTGTCTCCTACAGTCGAAACCCCTGATCCCTCTCCAGAAAGAGGCGGACCCAGAGACGGGCAAAACCATGCTGACCAACTACATGTTCCCCCAGCAGACCAGGACTGAGGAATGTGAGTACCAGACGTTCAGCGGGAAAAATGTGTCGTGTCTGAGCTGATGGTTCTGTGTCAAAGATTATTTGAATGACTAATATGGTCAGATTGTAAAAGTGAGGTACTGACAGAGTAGGAGATGATGGTTCTTACCCAGCATGCAACTTCACATAACAGTAAGGCATTCTGTGTGAAGTGGGTAAAGAAAATGTATTTTTTTTATGTAAAGTTCTCAGGCATTGCCATGACTACCACTTAGCCTCCCTCCCGACAGTCGCAGTCTTCAATGGCCTGCAAGGATTCCTGTGTTCATATTTCATGAGCGACCTTGTTATCTGAGACAAAAGCTGCAGCAGAAACATCAGTCCTCTTCTTCTTGTCAAGCATCGTTTAGTTTGGCTCGGTTTCCTGTTCCGGCTTGTTGTGACCCTGTTGCATCTTGGCTTTAGACTAATTTAGTGGTTTGAGGTTCACACGTTTAAACTAAATGGTGTCGAGTCAGCTGTAAGTTTTCTTTTTCTCAGCAGCAAAGACACGTGGTGCACACGTACAAATGCAAACATACAAGTGCTTCTGCCCTCTACTCGACATCTCCCAGGCATCTGCTTCATGCCACGCAGTTGTCTACTGGGATTTTTTTCCAGAAGAGCTTTTTTGTTTCCTCGTGTCCTTCCTGAGGAGCAAGAATAAGTTACTGCATCGCTGCAATAATTATGCTTTACAAAGGCCACACACACACACACACACACACACACACAGCGGTGACTCATTGTCAGACGCCGGTATGTTGTGTAGACAACAGTCCTAGACAGTGTCTGTTTTCAGCTATTCTAGTTAATTCTGAGCCAGAATCAGCTATTTCCAATGCAATATGTACTTCTTTCGGTTTTAGTCAACCTATTACTCAAACGTGAATGCAAGTCAGCGAGCTCGCTGTGTGTCAGTGTCGCAAAATAGCTTTAGCACAGGAAACCACACAGACTGTTTCACACCTGAAAGCAAAAATGACTGCATCTACTTGTGTAGTATGATGTAAACTCAACTTCTTTAGCAACTTCTCGTTGGGGTGGGATACATTTGTTCACTTGGTGTCGAGGGCGGATCAACAACATGAGATGCTGCCGAGCATCATCGGCCCCACAATGGGACATTCATCGCAATCTGAGCCCGGCCTCTCTCTTCCCAGCACGTACAAGTCATGCCCAAGTAACCACGGAGAGTCATCGACTCGTATGCTTAGTGGTAATAAATGTATCATTGTTCGGCTTTTATGACGAGGAAGTTGGCAGCTAAGCCGGAAGAAACTCCTTTCATTGTATTCATTATTCCAGTTTATTATCATCACAATTCCAAGTAGCAGGACTTCTTTTGTTTATTGAAGGTTTCAGTTTGATTAAGGGGTTAAGTCGCGTCGCGTCTCGACTCCCTCCACATCCTCGTGCCTCATGTAGACTCTGCGCCATCTTGTGGTCGAGGTCCAACTTGTGTGAATGAAAGATGACTGACGGACGCGATCTGGTTCCTGGTTTTATTTTGCAGACATCCCCAGCTCTGACTCGGAGAGCTTCAACCCGGCTCTGTGGGAGGAGCAGCGCAAGCAGCGAGCTCAGGTGGCCTTCGAGTGTGACGAGGACAAGGACGAGAGGGAGACACCCCCGAGGGTTAGTGGCAAACTGTGGTGTGCATGAAGCGGGATAAGAAGAAGAATAGTTGCACAAACGGACCGTGATGGATGAGTGAATGTGATCTGGTCACTCGTGTGATCCTGGAGTGAAGGTTGTTGGTATTTCTCCCGTTCCAGGAGGGAAACCTGAAGCGCTACCCGACACCGTACCCGGACGAGCTGAAGAACATGGTGAAGACGGCCCAGTCGGTGGCTCACAGGCTGAAGGAGGACGAGTCCGGTGACGAGTCGGGGAAGGATGCAAAACCCACTGAGAGGAACCACATTGGGGTGCAGGACGTGGGAGTTAAGGTCGGCTTCAGACAAATTACATGCACTACATTTTTACTTATTTCTAATCCCTTTAGTTGCTCTTTAACAAAATGCATATTGGGATCGTTTTTTAATAAACAATCTCTTTTTCTTCTTCTTTTTTTTACTGCAGGTGATCGAGGCTCCCTGTCCTAATGGCACGGCATCAGACATGGACTCTCAAATATCCACCAACACGTATTCCCAAAACCCCTCTGCGACAGAAACGAAGGACACCGAGTCCTACAGCGCTCAGAGAATCCCTCTGAAATCGTCAGGGGGCCCAATGATAAACCACGAGGACACGCTGGAGGTCAGCATCTGCTTCTCCCAAACAACACGGAAATGTAAAAGGGCCACTTTAAAACAGTCATTGTTTTTGTCTTCAGGATTCTGACGAGCTGTCCGACGAAGAGGCGGAGATGAAGATTGCAGAGATGAGACCCCCTCTTATCGAGATCTCCATCAACCAGCCTAAAGTTGTGACTTTAAGTAAGGACAAAAAAGGTAAACCGTTTTATCGCGGGGACCGATATTGAGTATTTGAAAGCGCCGGTGTTTGCATGCCGCAGTCTGACGGTGATGTTTGTGATCGACAGACGACGCCGACTCTTTGCTGGACGACACCGTTGCCAACAGCAACCAGAACAACAGCAACTGTTCGTCCCCGTCGCGCATGTCCGACTCGGTGTCTCTGACCACCGACAGCAGTCAGGACAACTCTCTGTGCACCCCCGAGAGGGAGGCGAAGATGCCCTTCCTCCCGAAGAGCAGGTTCCTGTCACTCCTGAACCTTTTAGCGTGAGCGTCCTTTCTAATGGTTGTAGTTACAAACGCCTGATGTGCCTCCTCCTTTTTTGTTTTTTAAGGCAAGAGGATGAGAACATGAACCAGCCTAAAGACACCACCCCTCTCCTCCACAACGGCAACGGTTCAGAGACGTCCCTTCCGTCCCTTTTGAAGAGCCAGCAGACTCCGACAAACAAGATGGGCGACTACGACCTGTCACTGGAAGCCCGGCTGGCCTTCATCGAGAAGAGGTTCAACAACGGCGTGGGCGAGTCCTACACCAAGTGGGACCAGATCAACATGAACGTGTCCAAGCCGCCGACCGACAACATGGTCCGGCAGGACGAGGTGGACAAAACCAAGAACGGCTCCGTCCACCAGGGCGCGGACGGCAACCGCGGTTTCAGCAACCACAACGCGGAGGAGCGTTTTCTGAACGGGAACCAGCCGAGCGAGACGGGGGCGGAGACGCCGGCCGCCCGCGTGGCCGTGGCGGCCGGCAGCGACGCGTCTCTGTCCCGCAGCACCGAGGAGCTGTCCCCGGATCAAAGGTGCCACCCCCCGCCGGTGGTGAAGTGTCACAGCGTCGGCAACATAGAGGCGGGAGGCATGAAGGTGTACTCCTTCGACGGGGACGAGGACTCCTACAAATCGGCGGCGGGGGCCGCGCCGGGCGCTCAGGGCCAGAGCATCGTCCGGAGCAGGTCCGCCAGTCAGTTGCTCAACGACCAGACCCTCCAGATCTACCCCGGCTCCTCTGCGTCGTCCTCAGACCTGCTCTCCTCCTCCAAGCCCCCCGCCAGCACCAGCAGGTACCCGGTGTCCTCCAGCATGGCCATGGGCGTCCCCCCCCCGCAGTACAACATACAGTACGCCAGCAGCGGCGTGCCTAAGGAGGGCCTCTGGTCCCAGAGGACCCCCGTGCCCCCCGAGCACCAGGGTTACCCCCCTCCTCCACCGCACTCGCTAGCCAACACCAACTACTCCAACCGTAACCAGGCACCTCCGTACCCCCAGCAGAGGGGGCCGCCCGCTGGGGACATGTGGACTAAGGAGAGGCTCCATTCCGCTGGGGGCCCGTCCCGAAGCGGCACCCTGCAGAGGCAGAGCAGCACGGCCTCCACGGCCTCCGTCGCCTCCATGAGCGACCCGAGGCGCGTCCAGCTGCCCGACGACTACATGACGTACAGGGACATTCACACCCTGGCCAGGGGCCCGCTGGCCATGAGCCACGCCATGCAGAGGCCGCTGTCGGCCCGCACGTACAGCATCGACGCGCCCGCGTCCTGCCGGCCCCTCTGCTCCAGGGCGCAGCCCCACGAGCTCCCCGAGAGGACCATGTCCGTCAGCGACTTCAACTACCAGCAGAGCAGCCCGAGCAAGAGGCCCAACGCCCGGGTGAAGTCGGAGCACTCTCTGCTGGACGGGCAGGTGCCGGGGGCAGGAAGGGTGCCGTCGGATTGGAGGGACCAGGTGATGCGGCACATCGAGGCCAAGAAAATGGAAAAGGTAAAAACGTCTGATAAAGTTGGATTATGCAGGTTCAGGGTGGAAGGTTGTTTTTGTGACGGTAGATACCGATAGTATCCCGTGAGTAAGAAGATGTGAAAGCCTTTCTTAAGCCCCGTTCTATTGTTAATCTAGGATTAACAGAAAGTCTCCTGGCTCTTACTACTAACCCAGCTGTATGCGCAATGTGATTCACTGCACGTTTGTCTGTACATGCCATAAACCTCTGTTGTGTCTCTCTGTGTCCTCACTCGTTTGGTGGATTGCATGGCCGCGGCGCTCACGTGGCTCGCTGCCGGTTGTTCCGCGTCGTCCCTCCGTTCAGAGCGCGCTGTCTCGCTCCTATAATCCCGGTAGCGCCTCGTCTCACTACGGCAGCTGTAGGGACATGCATGCCAGCCAGGGGTCTCTGGTCTTTAGTGCCAGGGACGGAGCGCCCTACGGAGCCGGGGGCTTCTGTGTGAGTACCGTGTGATGCCGAGCCGGAGCTAATCTCACGTCCTCTGGAAGACGAGGGCTCCTCCTCCTCCTTCCTTCTCTCCTCCACGTTGAGAAGTGATCACCGACCCTCAGAAGCTGATTCCTCACCACAACGGACCCTTTGTAGCGCCTGTGATTGTCTTCTGGGTGGATTCCTCTTTGTCTTTTGAGGGGAATTCTTTTTGTACCATCATGATGTCATTTAGGAAAGTGATATCTGAATTGATGAAGGCAGCTACGTTTTAGCTCATTTAGAAATCATTTCAACTTGTGTGTCTCGTGACTTTCTGATGCAGCGGACTACAGAAAGTGCCACTTGGACTCAAATCAAGCCTGTTGTATCTTTGGTACAAGCTAAAAACCCAATATATGATATCATGTATGGTACAAATCACCCCCTTTTGAACCCGCCTGGTGCTTTAACATAATAATCCCCCCTCCCTCCTGGTGTGCGTTTGCTCTCCACTCTGCCAGCCTCACGTCCAGTAATTGTAACGCATCCCAGCAACCGTGATTTTTTCTTTCCTTCTCTCCTTTTTAACTGGACTTCCTTTTCGCTCATTCATCATCTTGAGCTTTCGATCACTTGATATCCTCAGTCTGTGTGTGCGGACGAATACTGTAATACTTGTTGGAGGTAAGTGGTCGGAGGTGTTTGTCTAAGTGATTAGAAAGTAGAAAAAACGACTAGCGTCTAGAGGTGTTTGATTGTCACCACTAAAATCCCCCCCTAATGCATCACCAGACACGCACAATGCTCACGTCAGCGCCTCATCGGCTGCTGGGTGGAGTGACGTTTTTGGCTCTAATCACTTTCTCCTCTTTCAGGACGACGTGTTTCCACAAGGGCAGCAGAGCTACACCATGGATCACAGAAAAGTAGGCGTTGCTCCACGCAGACGTTTAGCTGGAGCTCACTGACCAAGCCGCTGGTGCTCATCCCTGTGTGTGTGTGTGTCTGTGTGTCCCAGGTGCCTTTGATGAACGGTCAGATGGGCCCCTCTGTTCGGCCTCAGGGGAGCCAGGGGACCATGGCCCGCCACCCTTCCAGGGAGCAGCTCATTGACTACCTGATGCTCAAGGTCTCCCATCAGCCACCGGGGCCCCCGCGCGTCCCCATGGACTCGCTGCAGCAAGAGGTGAAGATGCAAAAGACAATTATTTGAGCTTTTTGAATTTGTTTGACTGAAGTGGGATCAATTATCTGATGTCTGACCATTTGATATGAAAAAAAAAATTAAGCTCATTTACATTTGCCTTTTTAAATCGTAAGAATCTGACATCAGCTGCAAAACAAACCCGGTCCTGAACCTCACGGTGCGGATTTTCAAGACCAATGTTGGAAGGTTGTGCAATAAACGTCTGACAATTAGATGGCTAATGAAAGCGTGTGGGTGTGTTTTCAGATCCGTGTGAAAGTGGAGAAGAATCCCGAGCTGGGCTTCAGTATATCGGGAGGAGTGGGCGGCCGGGGGAATCCCTTCCGACCGGATGACAATGTACGTTTTTTTTATTCCCACACTTAAAGGGATAGTTTGGTATTTCATAGGAAAACCATCTAGCAGATCTCCAAAAGTCTCATCAACGGTGCAGCTGTAATAAATGCCGTTCGGTTGCAGGGTATATTTGTGACGAGGGTTCAGCCTGAGGGGCCGGCGTCCATGATTCTTCAGCCGGGAGATAAGATCCTACAGGTACACGAGCTGTACAAGAGAAGCATGTCGGCGCGCCTGATGTTCTCCACTCTGCTGTAACCAGAATTCCGTGTCTCCTCACAGGCGAACGGATACAGCTTTGTGAACATCGATCACCTGCACGCAGTGTCCCTCCTGAAGACGTTTCCAAACACTGTGGATATGATCATCGTGAGAGAAGCGCAAGCTTAGACTCCACTGGAAGCGGACGCACGCGAGCCGACCAGAGAAGAGGGACGTTGACTCTGATATTTTTATACGCAGAGGAGGCTGACCTGGTGAAACATGATGGGACTATTTATAGTAGAGATCTTTGTAGCCTTGATTTAAACGGAGAAAACCACTGAACGTTGTGGATTCAAGTGAGAAGGAGGCGAACCTCTGCAAGTCCTCAAAAGGCCATCACTGTGGTATATATATTTTTATACAAAAGAAGCTAAAAATGAGACTTGCTCTGATCACGTTTTTTTTTTTTTTCCTTATATCCTTTATCATAAATAAGGTTTTTATTTCCTCTGATTGGCACATGATTTGACCACTTGAGGGCAGAACTCTTGTCTCCTCTGTCATCCACTTTGCCTTTTTGTTTTCTTCTGATCTGATGTTGAAACCTTTTTTTTCCCGCTCTGCCGTGCGACCTCGTGTGGAGGACAATGTTACGTGCTCGTTGTGTGAAGACGAATGTTGATCGAGGAGTTCCCCTCGATGAGTTGCGAGGAGGAAATCATCCACCCCTGCTTCCGTAAACCTGTGGACACACTTACCCGTCTCCGGCTCCACCTGAACGCTGCCCGCACATCACCTCACCGGCGCTCCACCCGAGCTGTGTGGAAACGACGCGGGAAGCGCAGCGTCGGCGTTTCATCACACTGTAAGATGAGGGGGGGGGGAGAAGAGGGGCGTGGCACGTGTCCGCTTAGCCTTGATCTGTTTTTGCCAAGCAGGAGATTTAGTTTAAAGCTAAAGTGTGGACATTTTGCTGAACACGGCTCTTGTGAGTTGAGGAACGCGAGCATCGAGGTGAAAGGTTTGAGGGTTCGGGGGTCGTGCTACGTAACCAAAGCAGGGTTGTACATGTCGCAAGGAAGGCGAAAGAAGCAGGAGACGACTTCAGAGGGAACAGGTCCATGTTTCATCCATGTTTTTATTCATCGGGGGGGGGGCGAGCGATCGCGTCGGTTTCAACATCCTGCAGTTTTTATCTTTTACTTGGGAGAAGACCACCGTTTGCCTTTTTTTTGTGTCTGTGAAAGTGTTTTATCATGCTTTTTACTTTACTTTTTTTGTATTCTTTGCTGCACGGAGAGCAGAGTCGGGAGAAACAAGTTGTCAAGTGCCATAGACCTTGAACTGTTTGAACAGGGGGTGACCTTTGACCCCAGAACCCAAGCAATATCCACAACCTCCTGGGGACAGAATCTAACGGCTTACAAGCAATATTTAAAGCCTTTTTATTTTCATTCATAGAAACATCACACCTTTTTTTCCTTTTGAGCACAATCTTCTAATGATCGCCAATGATTGTGAAAAGAATCATTTTTAAAATCGCACAGGAAATCTATACGGCAGTGCTTAAAAAACCCACTAAAACAAAGATTTCTCTGCATTGTCCAAAAGTGAACGTTTGTGTCACTTTGGCCAAAAGCTTTTTACCGCGTGTCGCCGCGTCCTGATGTTCTTTTCTGCGAAATAATCTAATTTCCGCCGTTGAATCGGGTCACAACTGCATCTCCGAACATTCCTAACGCTTATCAAAGAACTGTGACGGAAGCAAAGCGTTTTGTCTGTTAATATTCATTCACTGGCTTTTTTCCTTGAGACGTGTTTCCAAAAAAATAAGACATGGAAATGATTCACAAAGTAACGGCCCCATGAAGTCCAACGAGAGATTTTTAACCCCGGAATGGCTTCATCATTTATCCTAGTGTTTCACTAAACGGCGTTCCCTCGACTTGATTACAGCAGATCGTGTCTTCTGCGGCTCCCATATGTAGTTGTGATCGACCCGTATTTTATTCTTGTGGCACCGTCTAACCAAAATAAAAAACACTGTGGTAATTAACAATGAAAAATCCCTTTTTAATATAGTTGTAGTTTGAACGGAATATAAAATTGGTACGTTTTATTTACAGGCCAATGACATTAATGTGCATTTCCCAAATTTCTCACAAAGTAATATTCTCCACGGATGAATTAATATTATTTGCATTGATTTGTTGATTTTCAATGGACTTTCTGAGATTAGGGGGAACGTTTCTGCAGCAATGATCACTTTACATTCATGGAGGAAACATGCAGTCTGACATCGTAGACAATCTAGGGAGATGAAACATGTCACATTTTCTCATCCATGTGAGTTGGTTTCCTGTATTCTTATTTATTTAGCAGTCTTCTGTGGTTTTTAGACCTTACTAATCAAATTGTAAATACTCCAACACAAATTGAGAAAATAATTAACGGCATTAGTGACTTGCGATTGTAAAACCAGCAATAAATTGCAATGCGGAGGCACTCGTTTTAATGTATAGTTAGTATTTCTAAGGTTGCTCTGGAAACGGTCACAGCGAGACGATGATTGATATGCATTTACCCAACATTCCAGATTTTGTACATAATTTCCTGTTTCTGAAGTAACCTGTGGAAAATAAACTAATGCTCTTTAGCAAAAGATCCTCCTGTCTTCATTTCATCCTCTTGGGTTCCCCTCGGGTTCTTTATTTCATAGTTAATGAAGAACATCCGGCTCCTCCGGTACAAACTGGGGGGGGTTCAAGGTGCCACTGGGTGTTTGTTAAGGCTGCGTTGTTTCCAGTACAACTGGTCCATTCAGTGGTTAGATTCAGGTTATCACAACGTGTGTGTGTGTGTGTGTGTGTGTGTGTGTGGATTCCACGTGTTCAGATGAGCTGAAGAGACCGTGAACCTTTTGTGTTTGTGGAGCAGACCGGCACACGCGTGTCAGTGTTTAAATGTCCTGCTGCTGGTTTCTTTGACCTGGAGTTGAGAAATATCAGTAGATGTTGCATTTATGTCTAGAATTTTTCGAAAAAGGCTGCGACCCGGAGCAGATAAACCTTTTGCAAAAACATGGAGGTACCTTCAGGCTTTTTTTTTTTCTTTTTTTTTTTACAAAGTTACATCCAAGAATTGCGTGCGTCTTTCTTTTTTGTCATCCTAACTCTTTTTGGTGTCAGATAATCACATCCTTCCAAACGCAACAGTGTATTTTGTAGCATGTGTGTTATCTGGATAACCGGCACACGATGGCAGTGTTGTATCTTCATTCCCTTTTTCTTCCCTGATGTCTGTTGTGTGAAGGCCTCTGTTCTCTCCAAATAAAGACAACCTTTCATCTGTGGCGATGAACTCTGACTGTAATAATAATAATAAGTCATCGAAAACAATAAGGTCACAAATGACTTACTTTGTACCACGTTTATATCACAACGATACGATCAGTGAGGGCTGAAGAGATAAAGTGAGCCTGTATGAGATAATGTTGAGTAATAAAACAGTGGACATACTTAGTACAAAACGTTTGACTCATTTAGAAAAACAAGTCTCTTGAAAGTCCTTTAATTTGAATACAGCACGTCTGACATGGGAAGCTGTGACTGAATGTGTCCGTCTGCAGTGACAACTGACTGCATAAATACACGTAAGGTAATAATAAATTGTCTGAAACACCAAGTGCATTGGTGGAAGAGGCACTGGGACTGTTTCTCACGGTGTAAAAATGTCTGCAAGGAAGACATGCATTTAATTCTATTGGTGTTAAGGTACAGACGTACAATATTCTCAAACTGGAGTATCTAAAGTAGGATATTAGGCAGAATTTTCCCTTTCAGACTGTTGTATTTTTATATAGACTGTACCATCAGCTTATACTATTAATTCATTACTGGATGAGCAACATTAGTGCTGATTTAAATTATTCATACATCTTAAAATAGTTTTTGTAAACTAAAGCAATAAAATAAATGCAGTAGAGTTCAACAAAATGTATGAAGTTATACAAGTGCAACACATACTTAGCAGTTATTTCCGACTAATAAAAAAGTGCAAATGTCTAATTTGTTTAGAAGCAGAACTGAGAGCGGAGCATCGGTGACAGTGACGTCACTCCAGCTCGCCTCTGATTGGATGAAAATTTTAATTTTCAACTGACCTGTGCAGTTTACACAATAAAGTGCACACCGTGCACACAAACCCCGAAGAGCGCGTGAGATCACCGTGAACCCGTCGCATTCCTGTAACGCGTAACGTGTTGGTGGGAATGTTCCTGGTCGAGAGGGGGGGGCGGGACTTAAGGCACGTCAGTCAGGCCGCGCGGCGGAGGAACGAGTCGGCGACACCTGCGAACAAAGTGATAACCGACTTCCAGCGCGCGAACGCGCGTGAAGCTGACGCGCGCGTTCACGCGGAATACGTCGTTCCAAAAGGTGTTCGTGACACGGAGGAGCGAGCAACGGGATTATAAAAAAAAAAAAAAAAAAACACAAAGAAAAAAAGTTCATTTGAAGACTTCGAGTGATGCGATTTTAAGTGGAACCCGGAGCGGGAGCAGAGGCACGAGCGCAGGTAAACGACACGCGGGTTTCCTCCTCAGGTGAACGAGATGTTTTACGACCGCGAACCCGAACCGGGCAGCATCAGAAGGACTTCGCCTTCCGATGGCATCCATCGTTTTATTGATTTACAGACGAGTATCGAGTGCCGGTGCGTTCACGGGCACAACGGAAAAAAAAGGACGTGGCGACTTTTTTTTTTCCTCCTTTTTTTTTTTTTCTTCTGTTGGACCGCCAGCCTTTCACCTGAAGTTCCCGATGCGTTTACTGACCGAACCCTGCGGGAGCGTCGCCGCAGAGGTCACGCATCGTTCCCGCAGTGCTGACAACATGTGTAGTAATTCTCACGCATGTTTTCACTCGTGCGTGTTCATCGCCGTGCGGATGTTTGTTGGCATTAGATGAAAACCCGTGTGCTGTTTATTCTAGCCGAGTGCGATCCGTATCTTTTAGTTCCACGTGAAGCCACAGGGGGGGTTGATGCCGAAGGGCCCAAAGCAGAAGCCCCCCCCCACAGGGCCAACAGGGCCAATAACCTGATTATTCAATCATGCATCCCTTGTAAAAAAAAAAACCAAACCCTCAAGGACAACAGGATCGACTTGCTGGAGTGTTAAAATATTTGCAGCACCTATAAAGATGTCAGAGTGAGTTTTCCCAAACGCTTTGTGACGGCGTTGCTCCTCTTGTTGTGCGTAATCTCCTTTTCTCACGCTCTGCTCCGGAGTGCATGGCCACCGGCCAGCTCAGGTTTCTTATCCGCATTGAGCGCTTCAGAGGCCGCGATCAGCCCGAAGGCCCGAAGCAGACACGGTGCACACTGCCACAACTGGACGCGTAAACGAGAGACACAAACACCCCCCCTTTCCTCCCCCCCGTAGGCGAGAGTTCTCATTGGAATCAAGTTTAACTTTTTACATGTGTGGATTCGGGTCGCTTAAAACCTTTTTAACAAACACGAGCACAATAGAATGTTCCCGGCGTGTCGGCGTCGCGACCTGCCGACCCCGGGACAATGTCTATTCTATATGACGACAATACATGCAACAATAGTTCCAGGTCACGGTGATGAAGCTGCACGGATTCAATAGGAGAGGCTCAAAGGCCTCTGGCACTCCCAATGGATAAGATACTGCAGCGAAAGGGACCGGACCAGATAAACTAAGACACTGGTCGGTGAGTCATGTGTTCCTGTGTGAGGATACGACGCTTTCGTCTGTGTGATCTGCATCATGCACGTTGTAATTAATGCGCTTGGTGGCGGAACGTCAGAAAAAAGGTAAACTTTTCACTACTCGAGGAGCGAACATCCTTTTTGGGGACGTCTGAAGCTGTCGCGTAAGCGTCTCAACTCGGGGGGGGGGGGGGGTCATGCACTATTCACAGCGGATCCGGTGTTGCGCCCGCCGCAGACGCCGTAGCTTCTTCCGAGCAGGTTACCGCGGCAACGGGGGTTCACACTCCTCTCGACCAGGAAATGAAACACTTGATCGCTTGTCAATTACGTCGTTTTGACATTCTGATCATTTCAACGGAGGCGTTGTAATGAACGATGTATGACTTGTTTGTTGTTGTTGTTGTTGTTTGTTGTCCCGACATCTTACTGTGACTGTTTCCTCTCCAGGCTTCTGGTGGATGGAGAGACGATGGAGGGGAACAGAACAGAGGTGCCCCTGTATGTAAGTGCCTCGGCGTTGCCGTGTGTTAAGTGTGCGTGAGTTCAGCGCGCTGCTCTCTGGGCCCCGATTCTGTGTTTTAAAGCAACCCCCCCCGGACCCCCCTTTGCTCTCCCTCGGCCCCGGCCGGCCTGCCTTGTGTCGCGCTTGAAACCCGAGCCAGGAGGGTTTCGGTCCCCCCCCGGGGACGCTGGACGCCTTGCGCCGACCCGCTCGCCAAATGGCGAGCCTCCGAAGGCGAGGCGTCCACGGGGGGCTTCTTTTGTTTCTTCTCTTCTTCCGCCGACCAGTTTGCAAATTGAATAAATGCACTTCTTCCACGAGGGAGCATGTTGGAGTGCACGTGTGTCTTTTTTTCATTGTAGAGGTCTGTTTGTGTGCTACTCTCAGTTCTTCCATCTGTCGACCCTCCATGTCTCCCTCCCCCCTCCCCCCTCTCCCTCTCTCCCTCTCTCCCCCGGCCTTACCCTCCGCTGTGTGAGGAAGCCTGGGTGGGCCAGTCACTGAAGCGTTGCCAGATTTCTGGTAAGCAGAGTGTCTGCTTGTTTTGCTGTGTCACCAGTTTTAGAGCGAGCGAGCGAGAGGAGGGGGGGGGGTGTCTCCCCTTCCCTCCCCTTCCCTCCCCTTCCCTCCCCCTCTCTCTCATAGAGGCCGATTGAGGACCCGTCTGAGTAAAACCGGGCCATTTGTGAATGATCACGGGCTCTGCCGCGTTCGCACGCTGCCTTCCATTAGCAGGAAGCGGCGTCTCCACCCCCCGGAAGGGTCACAGGTCAGCAGCGGCGAACTCTCCTCCCGCCGCATGAGAGCCCGGGTCTCAATGGGCGGCTTTGTGTCTCGGCGAGCGGCACGCCGCCGCCGCGCCGTGAAGGCTGTTATTGTAACGGGCCTTTGGCGAAGGTGTCACGGTGCACCTTTCTTCACACCCCGGAACGCGGCGTCCACAGCAGACACAAGCGGGTGCATTGAGCGGAGGAGGCTTCGAACGGAACAAAGGGATTTTTGTTCCTTCCGTGCGGGCGTTTCCGAGGAGAATCGATCTCCGCGCTAGAAGACCGGAGAACACATGCGTCTCAATTTTTAGCCAAATTAACGTAGTAAATCAATATTATATTGATACTGTTCTATGGAATCAGATATAACCTAAGATTTAGGAAAACCTTCATCTTTCCCAAACATTAAAAGGTGCTTTTATTTGCTGTTTATTATACCAACATAATGAGTATTTGGCCAATATTTGTCAATATTTTCATAAGCTACCGACAGTCGGGGTCCCCAGAGGACGCGCTGGGGTAACAGGAAGTAGAAACTACTTGATAGCAGCTATTAGCTCGACACGACTGCGTGTTAGCACAAGGACACAGCTCACGTGGGCCCGTGTGGGTCATCACAGGGTTCCCGTGTTGTGATTCACGGTTCAGTGTTCCCGCTCATCGTGTTTGCCGAGCTTTTTATATGGCAAACAAACTAAAGCCGACGATAAGCTGGTCAAACATAAAGGAAATAAGTAAAAAAAAAACTCTCAAATATTCCAGCCCTTCAGTAGTCCCTCATCATGTATTTGATTAAAGCATTTAGCAAGAAATCCGGTTACTTCTCGGCGTGATTAAGCACCACAGAGTCCATACTTGTACCTATTAGTGTCTCCTGTGCACAGGGGATTAGATCCGAGGTATGTGTCTCAGCTGAGCATGAGAGAGAAAAAGGGGCCTGCAGTCGGTTCCAGCTGTCCGATGAGATTCTGCTCCAGTGACCAGATGGAAGTGCCCTCCGCCCCCCCCCCCCCCCCGAGTTACAATAATCGACGGCGACCGCGCGAGGATTTCTGCACACTCGATGAGTCAAAACGTGACGGCCGGAGGAGCGGCTTGTTTTCCCGGGAGCTTGTTGTTGTTGTTGTTTTGTTGCAGCGAGGCCCGACGTCACCTGCGCGACGCCCCCCAGGAGACCGGTTTCCCGGAGACGAGCAGGCGTCGTTGTTGCCCCCAACCCCCCCACCCGAATGGAGTGCATTTGCCTTTTAGATTGTATCAAGGACCTTTTTTGCATATGCAAAATAACTGCTCGCGCTCCATAATCAGCGCATTATGCCGGACCTGAGCGCTGCCCATGAAGGAGGGACGAGGTAGAACGCGTTGAAGACGTCGTCGGGGCTGGATCAGGCTGCGCAGCGATCGGGCCCCCGGAGGAGGGGGGAGAAGGCCGCAGATCCAGTCTGTCCCACGTGCGGGTTCCTCTTCCCCCCAGGCTCACGTTTTTTTAATCCGAGCAAAGCCTGCGGGGCCCGAGCAAATATATCATCGGGACCGTGTCGCTCCGTGGAGGAAGCGACAAGCTAAATCAAGATGTGTTTCCTGTGTCTTTCATTGATGATCACGTTACCTGAAGGACAACGTCCCAAAAAAATAGAAACGTCAAGATGGAGAATAGATTAATCCCTTTGTGGTGAATGAGATGAATCGGAACATTCCTTGTCAAGTTACATTAAATTGCGTTTAGTAAGAAGAAGTAAAGTGCAACAATAGTTGATGGCAACCTTGAAAGAAAGTGTAATCCTACTTTAAAAATGGCCGTTGCTGCCGTGGCTCTCGCTGACCTGCATAGAAACCAGAGAGGCCGGCGTCTTATCTCGCTGCTACGCTGGAAAAACGGTCGGTGCGTAACATGAGCGCTGAGTGCTGCTGCAGCCGAAACCACTCGGGGGGGTCAGACCCCCGTCATCGGTGCCGCATCCACCTGTGAAAGCCCCGACGGCGTGAGGGACGGCGCTATCCGTTTTTGTTATTATGCCATTATCACGCGGATGGATCCTCCACTCGGATACCTCGGATAGCAACAAGGATAAATAAAGGACGACCAGGAGATAAAACCCCCCGAGCCGAGCGCAGTGCGCCGTGAGTCGACCCCCCCCCCTCTGGAGGAGGCCGGTCCCAGGAGGGAGAATAACACGGGGGAGGTGGAGTAAATCAGGTGGTTGCTGTGTTCATGTGCAGGACAAAAACGTTTACTTTGTGATGAGACGATAAAGAGTTTCCTCTCGATGAAAACACTCCAACATGCAGGACTGGACTCGTCGTCGCCTCACTTCATACACGCGCGTCTCGCTGGTGGTGAAATAAAAATATTTTTTGTTTTTGTGAGGCGATTTGATGATGTTCTAGTACCGTTTTCAACACATTTCGATGGTTTTCGGGATACAGTTTGACCTACTTTGCAAAAACGGGCTGGTTGCACCGCAGTGAATAATTGAAAGATGGAGAGAATCAGAAACTCGTGTTGGTCTTTCCCTCAACGAAATAGTCATTAAACGGAGTGAAAACCCCCCCAAAAAACAGCTCATCTCAGTGTTTTTTCTAGTGGATGCAGGTCACAGAGTTCAGACGAGGGCAATGCAAAAAAAAACCAACCAGGTCACTGATAACGAATCGCATTGTGAGGATGGATCACGACGTAGACGCCCAGTGGGGGGGGCTGCTGACTCCCCTCCCCCTTTCTTCTCCCCCCCCCAATTCTCTCCTTCCCCGCGTCTAACGGTGACCATCACACCTCGCCGGGCTTCTGTTTATGTGGAAATGACGTGGCTGTTTGTCTCTTGTCGTCCCAGGGACAGGTGGAGGCCCTGGTGAGCTCACCAGCCGACGCCCCCGACCGAGCGGAGTTTTACGTCGTTGTGCGAGGCTCCGCCCTCACGCACGTGACCGCGGCGAAACGAGGAGCCGACGGACGGACCCTCTGCTACACGGTTCCTGGTACGTCCTTCAGGCCGCCTTCCAAAAAAAAAAAAAAACCCCTGCACGTTCGCCCCCGCCGCCCCCCCTCGCCTGTCACTGTCTCACCGCCTCGCTCTCCCTCAGGCCACGCCCCCGCGGAAGCCGCCGCCGTCACGTCCTACTTCTACGCGGCGGGGCGGGGTGGAGCCGTGCGAGGGCCGGGCCTCCCTCCAGTACCTGGCGGACGCGGCCCAGGAGGCGGCAGAGCACCTGAAAGCGAACCGCGAGCGGCTCGGCCCCCGGAGCCACCTGGAGGTGCTGGAGAGGTTCTCCGCCGCGGGGTTAGAGCGCCGCGAGGAGGAGGAGGAGGACGGGATTTCAGGTGGGGAGTCCGGTCTGGGGAAGCTGGATGAGAAGATCACACAAGCCATGGCCAACATGGAATACCCTCAGCAGTGGAGTGAGGCCGACGCTCAGCCCAGAGAAGGTGGGGAACCGAGGAGCTGTGGGTTTTTATTGGGTTTTTGCACGTTGTGGAGCATTTAAAACAAAGCCGTCCAATCACAACAAAGCACATAGAGGAGGCGGATTTCTGCGTGGGGTTTCATTTTTCTGCGGATGTCGAGCCACGAATCCCCCGCCGGCCTCGTCCTCTTCTCCCGGGATCGTCTACGCCCGTGTGATTAAGACACCGAGCTGCGATGCAAACGTGGCTTTTCAATCACCGTTATTATCGCTGGGACCGGTGCTCCGCCGTCACATGACATGCAGAGACGGAGCAATTACCGCCATTATTCCTCTTCAGCCAGATCAGACCCCCCCCCCCCCCCCCCCCCCACACTCCTCTCCTTCGCGCCGCAGCTGTGTCTGAGTTGTTTCTGGCGTCTGGCCTCCGATTCCTTGATTCACGATGTTCCATTCTTTCAAAAAGCGGCGAAGTCTCACCTCATTTTTTATATTCTAGGAAATGAGGGTGAAAACATTCTGACCGGGCCAAAGTAATATTACACTTTGGACACGGGTGCTTTCCAGGAGATTACATACCGCTTGATGGAAAAGTATATTGCTAGCTTCCTTAAAATTCTGAATCTGTGTGTGTGTGTGTGTGTGTGTGTTTGCGTGTGTGTGTGTGGAGAAAGTCACGGAGGTGACGGAGAGTTTTGGTCCATCAAAGGAGGGAAAAGAGGAAACGAGAGTTCTCCTGCACATTGTTCCGGGGTTTGAGCGAAAGCGCCATGGCAACCGTCTACTCTCAGCCACACTTAAAGGGAAGATGAAGTACCCCGGGTCCTCTCTGCAAACAGCCCCCCTCCCCCTTCCCTCCCCCCCCGTGCTCACAAAACAACAGGGGCGTACGTGGAGGATTTGTGGGGCAGAAACGTGCCCATCTGGTGCCCCCGCGTGCCCGATGGCAGCCCAGATAGTGCATCGCGCCGGGGGCTGTTTATACAGGGTACCCTCACGCATGCCGATACTCTGCTGCACGCGTGACAGAGTTCACCAACCGCCTCCCTCCCTCCCTCCCAGCCGGCGTCGGTGAAACATCCTGTTTGTCCAGGTAACAATGCTATCGAAAACGCGGCGGAACCCTTTTGCGTCACCCCGAGTTCTTCATTCTTGGCCTGCGCGGTTTTTATGGGCCGTACATTCCGTACATACGCAGCAGATGGTCCGTGCGCCTCGCAGCGGGGAGAGAGCTTGTGTAACACACATCGGGGAAAGGTTCGACTGGGTGGAGGCTTTCTGCAGCTGGGGCAGGTTCTGTTCCTGCCACCACGCCCTCTCTTCTTTCCTCCCGGGTAACGGCGCTGTGAACGGCGTGACGGACCTTCGTATCCTTCTCTGTCTCTTCCTTTTTTAGCCGCTGAGCTTCAGCCCAGAGAAACCCTCCTTCACCTGGCGGTGCGCCTGGGTTTGGTCCACCTCTCGCGCTTCTTAATCCACCAGCCCCGAGGTCAAAGGGCACTGACCGCGCCCAACCAGGAGGGGCACACCCCCCTCCAGCTGGCCCAGAGGGACGGACGGCACGCCATGTTCAGGGCGCTGGCGGCGTAAGTTGTCCCGTTTAATGACTCAGCGGCGGACGTTGTGTGACGTGGCCCCGTTCACCCTCCTCCTTCTCCCCCGTCAGTCCCCCGGGTCCAGCTGTGGGCCCCGTTCCAGGCGTGTGGTGCGTGTGGGCCGACGGGTCCAGCATGGTGAGGTTTTGTCCCGGGACGGGCTCCCTGACCCTGACGGTGCGGCAGGGGCGGCGGCCGGAGCCCGGAGGCCGCCCCGAGGACGCCGTCGGGATCCTCCGAGAGCGACTGGCCGACGACAGCGTCCTCAAACTGGTGCGAGCACGTTTTGTTTAACGTCCCCTGTGCGATCGCGTAAGCTGCAGCAAACAGTGCGGCCGCTGGCGAACTCACTTTCCCATGCGTCTCCCGCGTGAGGTAATGCGCCGCCGCTGTTGAGATAAGGCCGTTTGCACGGGCTTTGTTCCGACTTGTTTAAACAAAAAGGCCTCGACTCCCACACCCCCCCCCACCCCTTCGCTTGTAATCGGACATTTTGACAAGAGTTGAGCAAGTAAGCGTAAAGAAAACACTGCAGCCATGGCAGTTAATAAACCCAGAGGGCAGCTTACGCAGAATGATGCTTTGAAATATTGTGTGTCACATAATAATCTTTATCTCTAATTTAGAGATTTCTTAATATTTTTACAGCTCACGTGAGCTCTGTTTTTGTTCCAGGTCAATGTGCTCAAAGGTGATACTGAGGAAGACGAGAGCGGCACAGAGGAATCTGCCCCGAGCGATGAAGGTAGGATTGAATCGGGTCCCCGTTCCACTAATTGTCAGACGAGAGCTTGTTATGGGTTGTAATAAAGTGCCTGTTTACCAGATAGTCCACGTTGTTAGAGGCAGACGATGCGCTGAAATCATGTTGAATGACGGGAAACTTAAATATTAACGCATTTTAAATGGAAAAACCTTTCGGATTTGGAATCCTGCTTCACTCCGGGATCTCGCGACATTGTGAACGGCAATTTTCTTAATCCTTTTTTGCGCCGCTACACTTTTGAATGAGTCATCGACACCAGCAGCCGACAGATTACCCGGTGATGAACTATAATCATTTGCACAAACAAGCCCCGCATTGTGTCCGCGTGCAAAACAAATCCCCACGGAATCGGTTGAGCAAACATTTGTGCGGTCGGACATTCGTCACTGACTCGCAGAGACTAAAGAAATCACTTCCAGCAGACGCTGTAAAAGGCTCTTTCCTCCGCGCGCCTGTTTGTTCGGAGGAAACCTCGGGGGGGGCAGGTTGTTTTGTCTCTGTCCTTCTGGTGGACACGCTCAGAGGGAGACCCTCACAGATGTTTTTCCCGCGGTGCCACCGCCGCGCTTATTTTTGCCGCTCCGTCCGTTTGGGTAACCGTGGCGACGGCGGATTTCAGTATCGACTCCTGAAGGGGGGGAAAAGCAGGAAGCTCGTGTCTCGGTATTGACCTCGAGCCCCCCGTCCATTAACCCGTCCGAAATAACAACCTCACGCTGGGGAGAATGTGCTTCTTCCTTCTGTGGACCTGCTGCTTCCCCCCCCTCCCCCCCCCCGCCCCCCCCGCCGCCAGCCTGCAGCCTCCCGTCTCCTCGCCGGCACGCACACACAGGACCCGGCGGCGGAGGGCGACGGGGCAGAGGTGTCGTGCATTAACTCCCGGGCTGAATGTCTTTATCCCACACAGGCGTTGGCAAAGCGCTCCGAGTGGACGCGGCGGCGCCGGTGGACCATGTGAGTACCGCGGAAGTACGCGCCAGCCTCTCGGAAGCGCCGTGGTCGTCTTTGGAAGTCATTTGCACGCGACCGAGTGTCTTTGTTCCTAAAAGAGATGCTTCCTCTGTTTGTTTTCTGGTTTGTTTGAAGGTATTTGAGGAACAACTGGTTCTTTCTCTGGACGACGACGACGACGATGAAGACTTCCCGTCCTCATCGTTTGGTAAATCTTCTCTTTCTCTCTGTCGATCTCCCTCAACTTTGGCAAACACAAGAGCAACTTTCCAAAAATACCGTTCCGTTTTAATATTATAGCAATAATACTGTGGCATCTGGTTTCAATTAATATAATTGGAGTTTTAGCCAGGAGACCTGATCTTGTGCTACTACTGCTTTTCGTGGGAGTACGAGCAGCAGCAGCAGCAGGAGTTTAGTATTTCATGCATTCTTGTTTCGCACATTGCACGAGCGAGGAGCTCCGTGCGGCCAAAACAACGAATGAGTAATTAATGAATAAACACAACACGTTTGTGGCTTCGCTGCACAGCCGGCTGTGGGAACGACGCACGATAAGCTGGTTGAGAAGCTTCGACTGGAAGCCTTTTACTCGTGTGGCTGCCTCGATAGGCAATCTGCTCTGTTCGGAATCACCAGAAACGCACACACACACACACACACACACACACACACACACCGTCTCCGGTTGATGAGCGGTAAACGAACGCGTTGTCCTTCAGCAGTCTGGTGCGAGTTGGGTCCCAGTCCTGGAATCTGCCCCGTCACTGGGACAAAGGCAGGAATGGGGTCAGGCGTGTCCCAACCGGGAGACCCCCCCACCCCCCTCCCTCCCGTCCCCCTCTGGCTCCCCTGAAACGGACAGTGGAGCTCTGTACAGTACGTGGGGTGGGGGGGGGTTCACAAGCTGGTTCACAAAAGCTGACATTTCAGGGTTTTGCACACGCGTTGACCTCCGGATCCTCGTTCAACGGGCGGATTCAATCCAATCGACACCGTCTCTCTGGCTTGTGAAAAAGTTTTGAGGAGGATGCTCAAACCTTTCAGGTGTTGCCACGGTTACCGCGCATGCTAATTCCCCGCGTGTTGCCGTGGAAGAAAGAAGGGCCTGTTGTGAACGCGGCCGGAGGCGGCTGAAGGCCATAAACTCTGAGACCATAAACCGTGTGTGTGTGTGTGTGTGTGTGTGTGTGTCTCTGTGTGTGTGTGTGTGTGTGTGTGTGTGTGTGTGATGTTTCATTCTGACCGCAGATCCTTTTCCTATTGCACAAATAACTAAGCCCAACTATGTTGATCGGAATGCTTTTAGTCGTGATGACGGCCCCTCGAGGCCGCTGTGGTTTTCATTCGGACGAACTGATCGTCGGGGTTTGGCCTACGAGCCGCTTCCCTCCGTCTGCCTTCGCGCTTTTAAATCAAGAATACGCTGTCTGCGTGAAACGGGCCGCGGGGATTAAAACGAGGTGAGTGCAGTGGATTGGCATAACAAGTCTGCCTCGTATGTTTGAGCTCTGCGCTAAGCGTCTTGCCTGTGTGAGCGCAGCAGAGAGGAAATGCCTTACTGATGCCCAGGATTTCCCTTACATTAGTGCAGGCATGGCGGGTCCAGACATCAAAGTCTGGGGGGGGAAAGCTCGCAGCAAGAGAGCTACGAAAATGGATTCTCAACGGAAAAAAAAGGGCAGTTTTCCACGTTGTTATCCTAGAAGCATCGTGCACCAGTGGCACGTGCAGCGCACACACACACATACTTTACTCCCATTAGATAAATGAGGTGCTTTGACTGCATGTTGCATTGCACGGACAGTTCTTAAGTGCACCGCGTACATTTGAAAGCAGATGGCGTTGAAGAATTTTAATGCAAAACATGAAATCATTCTTATTGATTTTAAAATACCTGCAATTAAGGTGTTGAAACGTACGCCTCTGCGCCCCTGCCGTGGTTTTCATGTGGATGCATTTGCGTTAAAACGCTACAAACGTTTTGCTTCAACACATGTTCACAATGCTAGTTTAAGGTACGAGCGTGCTAAACTCAGAGTTTAGGCTCCAGGCTCACCGGAATGCCGCTTTGCGGGTATTTGGTCGTAAACCAGTCAACCGGTGCCCGAGCACATGAACCCAAACAGATTGCACAAGTTTGGCACTTTTCAATGCGTGTGCAAAATGTCGTTGGTTTGTAAGCACCTCAAAAGACCGCTCTGTTTTTCATGGGGAACAAAAGAGAAACAGCCTGCGGGGAAAGTTGATACGTGGAGGTTTTCTGTGAAAGCGAGCCTTTAAAGGTCAACCAGGGCGCCGCCTCATCGCGTTTCTCTTTTCTTTTGATCCGAGCCTTGACTTTTATCCAATGACAGATCGATAAATCACGGCACAAACTGCCGACTCCCGAACACCGAAGAAAATATGAGCAAACTTCCCTTTATTACCACCTCCTGTGTGTATCTGCTGGTGGCCGTCGATGTTTTTCTGTCATCTCCGCTCAACACTCGGCTGATGCTGGAATGAATAATGGCAGCGACGAGTCGCTTCTCACTCTGCTCCGTCACCGTAAATCTCTCCGCAGGATGAAAACAAATTCCTAACAGACATCTCAGACAACTGCTCGGCGCCGCAGAGCGGCGGATTTCCAACTGGGGGAGCAGAGTGCAGACAAAGAGAAGCCGGTTTGATCGGTTATGGACTTTGTTACAGGGGCGGTGAACGGGCGTCCCGTGCTGCCCGCCGGAGTCCAGAACCAGCCGGTCCAGCAGCCCTCGGTGATGGACGCCGGCGACCCGACCGCCCCGCATCACCAGCAGGTCATAAATCCCCCCTCGCTCTGCCAGAGCCACGTTGGTCCGCTCCCCTTTCCTTCACGTTTCTCCTCGCGTGTTGTTTTTTGAACCCGCAGGAGGAAGAAGCTGACCCGCAGGTCGGGGACGCCACCGGGACGGACGGCGGGCCGCGGGACGCGGAACAGCCGCCGCCGGCCGCCGATGCCGCCCCTCCCGCGCTCTCACCCGCCGACCGGGCCCTCGCCCGGCTGAGCCGCCCCGCGTCCTCCGAGCAGGCCGGCCGCCGGCGGACGCGCGTGACCTCAGCGCGTGACCTCAGGTACTGAGCGCAGGGCGTTTTCTGTCTCGTCCGGACAAAGCGTTTCCTCTGGTGTGAAACCCGCCCGCGTGTCTCCCCCAGTCCCAGCCTGGTGGCCCTGGAGGTGGACAGCGAGGAGGAGGAGGAGGAGGAGCCACAGTCCCCGCTCTCCCCGCTCTGGTCGGAGGCGGAGAAAAAGGAAGACGAGAGTGAAGGCTCCTCGCCCTCGGCGGACGTCGCCTGCACTTGCAGCCAATCCGCCTCCTCGGCGAAAGTAAAAGCGCCACCTCGGGCCTCAGAAAACTCCCACTTCTGCTTTCAGGCCTCAACTTTGCCTCCTTCTCCCCAGCAGACGGGTGAGCGTGGGATTCGACTGCGTTCGTACTCCTACTCCTCCCCCAGAATCAGCTTCCGTCCCGCCCGTCCGACCCGCGACAGCAACCCGTCGGACCCGAGCCTCGGTCAGTGACGCCTGCAGATAGAAATGCGTGGAGATCTAACGCGAGACTAACAATGTTCTGTTTGCTGTTTACCTTCTATTTGTCTCCCTTAACGCAACTGTCAAGACTCACCACTAATATATAAACTGCAGTCAACTCCCGACAGATGTGCAAAAAGCAATAGTTTGACGATTTGCGTCTGTAAATAGGCATCAGTATCAGATTAATAACCAGTTAAAAGGCTGTTTCTTGGCCGCTTGCCCCCCCGAGGTCCGTGCCTGGAATAAAACGGCTGCAGACGGACACAAAAATGCTCTTTGGCACGTTTTAACTCCCCGCAGAAGAGCAAATCTGCATCTCCTCCCATGAAAATCTACTCTCAATGAGCCCGGAGCCGACTGCAGGTCACGCGGCGCCGTCCCGTGTAGCTGACGTGTCCCCTGTGCCCCCCGTAGATGGCGTCCCCCACAGTGTCGGCCACAGCCGCTCTCTCCTTCAGGCGCTCTCTCTGCCTATGTCTCTGTCTCTCCTCCACCCTGGGAGTAAGTACCGGACGCCGGGGGCCCCCCCGCCGGGCACGCCGCCGCCGTCGCCGCTTGTCTGTGCCGTCGTCAAGGTTATCGCGGTCGCTTCAAAGTCCTGCGGGCACCAGCAGACGGACATAGTTAGCGACCAGCCGGGCAGCACAGCGGCTGGTTTTTTTACCGGCTGGGAGGAGTTGGTGGAGACCAAAGCGGAGACACGGGGACGATTTAAGCGGCTGAACATGAAAGGAACGTCTCTTAAATCACCTCACGTGTGAGATCTGTGAATTCTGCTCGCGCCGAAGAACAAAACTAAGGAAAACTCAAATTGTGAGTGAAGAACAATTTGGAATTGCGACGGGGATTTGAATCAAAGGCAAAGAAGTAAATTAAAGTCACATGTGTTATAACCTTGGCGCCAGCATGTGTTTGCATGCGTGTGTGTGTGTGTGTGTGTGTGTGTGTGTGTGGCTTCTTTAATCCGAATGGCAGTGGGTGTGTAAGGAGTGATGCGTGTTTATTTCCGCATCGGTGCCGAAAAAATAAAATATTCACTCTGCAACAATCTAAAGTTTCTGCCGACTTTCAGTTTCAGTTTTCTGTGCGTACGTGGAGCGAAATCGGCATCTCCTCATTCGATTTTAAACGCCGTGGCCTTGATTGTTGTTGTTGTTGATTGAATTAGTTTTTAAACTCCTCATTCTGTGCGTACACAGAGCAGAGACCCCCCATGACGCCAGAGCAGCCGCACGAAAAGAGGTATTTATGATTTCATTTCACTTTCACTTGTAAATTGTACTTGTATTTTGTGTGTTTCTGTATTGACCTGACTTACTTTGGGCTCCGTCGTATCATACGTCAAGAATGTAATCCCGTTACTATGAGCAACGCGTGTGGTAACCATGACGTCCAGGTTGCTTGGTGACTGGCGGGCGGTTGGTTTATTTAAAGAACAGCTGGCTGAATGTGCTTCACGGGTGTTTTCGATCCCGTCTCCTTTCCAAGAGGAGGTGACGCACAGATATCAGCCAGGGTGACTCTGAGCGACCGCCTGGCCGCAGGCATGACCCAGTGCATCGTGGGTACACGTCCCGGAGCGCGACGAACGTGCATTTTGCAGCACTGTGGCCAATGGCGGTTCGTGGAAAAACTGTATAAAATAAAGCAACGGTGCTGCTTTTCAAGGTCTCTGCTCCTGGGGGGGGGGGGGCGAAGTGGCCCGGAATTAAAAAGAGGATTTCCGCTCCTCTTCCTGCTCCGCTCGGCCCCTTTTTCACTGATGCCAAGTGATATTTCCTTTACCTCTTCATGTGCAGCGCCCCCTGGTGGAGGATACCAGACGCAATCAATGCAACTAATCTTTATTTCCACATATCAACAGAATACAACAGCCGGTCTCGCTTCGTGGCTGCTCGTCGGTGTTAAAGCGTCCGTGTGTGTGTGTGTGTGTGTGTGTGTGTGTGTGTGTGTGCGCGCTGTTCTCTGCAGGGAGATTAGGTTCCGTCAGCGAGCGCAGTCCGCTGAGGACGAGGGCGGCGTGGAGCTGCCAGAGTCCCTCCAACATCTCACCCTGTCTGAGTTCCTCAAAGAGTACGTGGGGGGCTTGAGCCATGTTTGAGTGTTGTAGGCCCCCCCCCCCCCCCCCTCAACTAAGGTCGACGGCATGTTCGCATCGATTGACGACAACCTCCTCTCCTTCCCTCTCCTCCTTCTCACACCTCATCGTTCCTTTCCTTGTTTTATCTCTTTTAGAAGCAGAGCAATAACAAAGCGGTTGTTGTCTTTTAACAACGTGCACCAGAAGACTGTCATTGTCATTTTGCATGTTTCATACCTCCTAACAATTCTACTAATTCTAATTTACAGAAGGAGCACGATTTGTGTTTTGATCTTTCGATCATCCAAATGCTTTCTCTGTGAAACATTTATTCCAGGAAGCGAGCCCCTGTTATGCGATGTTACGCGCTTTGTGTACTACAAAGCTACACTAACCAGTCAGGCTTGCTTTTGTTGTCCCGTAGAGTCCGCGTGAAGACAACCGGGACGCCGCCGCTCCGCCTCACTAACAAGCGTTTGCACACAAACAAAGCCGCTTTGAACGCGTTTTCTGAAGTTACGACAGTGAGGCTGTTTCTGATCTTTCTTAAGAATCCAAGAGGAGGAGCTGGACAAGTGCAACGTCCCCGCCAAGGCGGAGTCGGAGAAGTACAAAGTCGCCCGCACCTTCAGTTTCCTGAAGAGCCGGATGTCCAGCACCCGCAACAAGAGCAAGGTGACACCCGTCAGCCGTCCCCCACTCGAGTATAGAAGACGAATGGGCTTAATGGAGGCTGGAAAACAGCTTTCACACGCTACATCCCCCCCCAGCGCCTCGTTCACAGGCTTAAAAACACCACGACCGGCTGATTTCAATTGTATTATTTACCTTTTATAAGTTAGTACATTTAGTTATTCATTATAAACCGTCTGCGGGGGGCCGGTGTTCCCCGTCTAGACCACTACTGTGACACATTGTGCCGCTCTCTGTGAGACGCAACCAGGAAACGTTTCTGGGAGTAACTCAAGGTCAGAGCGCCGAGCGCGGCAGGTTGTCCGCCCTCTTTCCCCGTAATCATTAATCCCCTTTTGTTGAGTCAGCACGCAGCCTCGTCGCCCCCCTGACCTGCGCCCGTTGTTTATGGCGGCCTCCATTTCCTCGTTGGCCGTCTCGGTTTCGGGAGCAGGCGCTCGTCCCTCTGCTCACTCTGCACATAGACACCCGCCGCGGTTTATAGAAACATGAAGCGCCGCGCCGCGCCGCGCTCGGGCTCCGCCCGCATGGCCTCTTTGTTGACGCTCGTGTCTCCGGCGTGGCTTTCCAAAGGGGAAGGCCAAGGACAGAGAGGCCAAGGACCGGCCGCCGGACGGACACCGGTTTAACGCCGGCTCCTGTTTGGGCCCCAGCGCGTGCGTCGTGTGCGATAAACCGGCCTCCGGGAAGGACGTGCTGCACTGCGCCGGTAAGTCGCGGCGCCATTTTTTTATTTTTTTTCTTTTCAGAAAAACAAACAAGTTGTCTTCGGGAAGTAACTCAGAAACGTCCGTCCGCAGGCTGCGCCGCGATCGTCCACAAGGGCTGTAAAGAATCCGTCCCGCCCTGTTTGAAGGTGAGTGCCGCTGACCTCTGCCGTGCGCCGACACGGAGCCCCTCTCTGACTTCTCGCGCTTCCCAGAAGCTCCAGGATAAATACGCCGTTGCCATGGTGAAGAACAGGACGGCGTCCCTCCCGCAGAGTGAGTTTACAACACAAAGGTTCCCGGTCACGTGGGGGCCGAGGGAGGTAAATCCCTTTTTGCTTTTTCGCCCACACACAGATTTCACAGTGAGAGACGGTCCCCCTCCGCACGTCGTCCCCGTCTCCCCGTCTCTGCCCGCCATGAGGGACGCGGACGCCCAGCCGGGCCCGCCCCCCGGGACCTTCCCAAGCGGCGACAGGTGGCGGAGCTGTCAGGCGTTGTCGCTCGCGTGATTTCGGTAAAATGGTTGTTTTCATTTCATGGCTTTTTTGTTTTTTCTTCGTGCCGCAGTCGGCTCGGCGACGGTCCGGAGGCCGAGTCCGACGCCTGGAAGGTCGGCGGGCGATCGGAAGAGCCCCCGGCGACTCGGGCGTCCTCCGACTCGTCCTACGGGGAAGGTAGGACACGTACGCGCGTTTACGGGTCTTGTTTGTACTTTCAACGTTATTACTTTCCCAGCTGGTGAGCGTTGAAAAACACAGCGGCTGAATTCATTTGGATATTTAAAAAGAATATTCTATTTCACCCAGATTGTGTTGTTTTCCAATAGGATTGATCAAATGTAATCCAATAGTATTGGATTAGAATTGGCTTTGCTCTCATTATTTGTAAAATAGTTCTACATTTCCTCAATTTGGTTAGAACATTATAGCACAAAAAGATTTGCTTAAATTGTATTAAGTATATTGTTTTAATTCAATTTAAAATGATAACCCTGGTTGGTATTATTGCTATTGTTGGAAAAAAATAAAAAAAAATAAACAACTGAAATATCTCACAAATGATGACACAACATTTCTTTGTTTATTCGTTGATCGTAAAACAACGGCTGTCCCCTATTGAGACGAATCACAGCAGCTCTAATGAGGGGAAACGTGACGTGACATTTGTGTGCCTCCGTCCCGCCGCAGACGCCGTCGACGCGTGCATCCACAGCGACATGTCGGCCGACGCCGCGGACTACGAGGCCGAGTCGTGGAGTCTCACCGTGGACAACAGGTTCTGCAGGAAGCAGGACAAGCGAGCCGTGAAGAGGCAGGACGTGATCTACGGTGAGCGCGCGTTCCTCATTGTGCGGGTCATTTTTTTCCGGAGGGCGGGACGTGACGTTTGGCGCGTTGGACCTCAGAGCTGATGCAGACCGAGCTGCACCACCTGCAGACGCTCCACATCATGGCCGAGGTCTTCCGGCGGGGCATGAGGGAGGAGGTGCAGCTGGATCCGGAGGCGCTGGAGCGGGTCTTCCCCTGCCTGGACCAGCTGCTCCTCACCCACCACGGCTTCTTCGCCGCCATGAAGGAGCGCCGGCACGGCTCGGCTCGGCCGCACGGACGCGGCAACTACCTCATCCGGCGGATAGGAGACGTCCTGCTCCAGCAGGTCAGCCGGTCACATGACCCCCCCGCCGCCTCCGTCTTAACGCGCGGCGGGCGGCGTGAGTCACTGGGTGTCTTTTCTCTTTTCTCCGGCAGTTTTCAGGTGAGAACAACGAGAAAATGAAGCAGTTGTACGGAGAATTCTGCAGTCGTCACAACGAGGCGGTGAACTTCTTCAAGGAGCTGCAGCAGCATAACAAGAGATTTCAGATCTTCATCAAGGTACCTTCCTCCCCCGCAGCATCCACGCGGGCCTCTTTAAACATTTCTAAAACTTCTGATTGGACTTTTTCAAGCAACAAGGTAATAACTCCTTGGTGAGACGGAGGGAGATCCCAGAGTGCATCTTGCTGGTGACCCAAAGGATCACAAAGTACCCAGTGCTGCTGGAGAGGATCTTACAGTACACTGAAGGTCAGTCACACGCCGCCCCCTGCTGGCCACATCTTCGTATGGGCAATAACGGCACTACAGACCGGTGGTTCTCAACTGGTCCGGCTCCGGGACCCGCCGTCACCCCTTAATGACAAGCCGCGACCCAAATCGAGGAAGATTCTCAACTTCTCAAATTTATTTAATGAAAATATGGTGCAGTTTGAAGCTGAGAGAGTGTGGAGACAGAATACGTACGCCGACACCAAAACAAGTTTAATGAGCTGGTAGCGATGCTAGAGAGGGAACTATTCCCTTTTACACTCAATTAGCTAAAAAACCCCCAAAGTGCATCTTAAGGACACGAGGTATTACAATGTACATAACAATTAAGAATCTTCAGCCATTTCAAACGAACTCAACAGCTTTCATGCACAAAAAAAAAGGCGAAAAAAGACACAAATGACCAAACTTTAACAGATCTATGACAAACACTATGTCTTGAGGAGCAACTTTTTCACAAATTCAAAATAAATCAAATAAACCTGGCACACGCTGCTGAAAACATGGACGGACGAGCCGGCAAAAAAAAAAAAACATTAAATGCTGCATTAAAAAAGTCCCTTCAAAATATAATCACAGGATGAATTTTTTTAGTTTTTCTTAATTTTACATTTTTATTTTCTCAGGCAAAAAACGGGTCCCACCAGTTGAGAATCACTGCGATAGACGATGTAGTTTAAAGATGTCATTGATTTATTCCCCCTGCGTGACCCCCCCCCAGAGGACACGGTGGAGCACGCCGACCTCACCAAAGCGCTGGCTCAGATCCGGGGGGTGATAGCGGCCGTGGACCTGAGCGTCAGCGAGTACGAGCAGCACCAGAGGTTGCAGGACGTGTGCGGCCGCATGGAGAACCGCAGCGCGGCCAAGCTGAAGAACGGCCACGCCTTCCGCAAGCAGGACATGATGGCGCCGGGGCAGACGCTCAAACACCAGGGCCCCCTCCTGTGGAAGACCGCCACCGGCCGGCTCAAAGGTGAGGCCCGAAGGGGGGGGTGGGGGGGGCGCATGCTTTTTATTTCGTTTTTTTTGAATGCGAACGATCATTTCGGTGTCTTCGTCTTCACTTCCGCAGACGTCCTGGCGCTCCTTCTCACCGACGCGCTCATCTTCCTGCAGGAAAAAGACCAGAAGTATTCGTTTGCCGCAGTGGTACGCACAGAAGTCACCCGTTCAGTTTGTTTGTTAACCCGTTGCCATTATCACACGGTGTAATTACCCCCACCCGGCCCTGCGCCTCAGGACCAGAAGCCTCCCGTCATCGCGCTGCAGAAGCTAATAGTGCGAGAAGTTGCGAACGAAGAGCGAGGGATGTTCCTGATCAGCGCGTCGGCCGCCGGGCCGGAAATGTACGAGGTCCACGCGTCCTCCAAAGAGGAGCGCAACACCTGGATGAGGATCATCAGAGAGGCTGTCGAGAGGTGAGCGTCCCTCCTGTGTGTTGAGGAGGATGCGGAGGATGAAGTTCTAAGCCGCTGGGGTTTGTTACTCCTCGTCTCAGCTGCCCGGAGGAAGAGGAAGAATCCACGAGTGAATCCGAAGAGGAGCGGCGAGCTGCCGAGGCTCGCGTTCAGAAGATCCACAAGCTACAAGGTACGGCGCCATCTCTCGTTTTTTCCCTCGAGGGCCTCTTTGCATCCTGCACCCCGCCCGAGTTAACGTCCCGCAATGCTCCACACTCTGTGAAACCCGATGAACTCGCCCCCGTCAGAGAGTCTGCTGAGCCAGGACCAGCGCATCTGCTCCAGCCTGGAGGAGAAGCTGCAGGTCTACGCGGCGCTCGGCGCTCTGAGTGGGAGGACGGACACGGCGGCGGCGCAGGTCGAACCGCGGCTGCTCGTCCAGCCGAACTCCGAGGAGCCGCCCCAGGGCGGCGTCCTGCTTTCTGCCGCTCTGCGAGAGGGTGAGTGGTGGTACGCGTACTTTCATGTAACATGCTTCAACCTGCAGGACCAGATTCACATGCAATTTAAAGTGTTTATTAATATAAAATATTTGGGAACTTATGATAAATCGTCATTCATCATGCAGAATCCATGCATACATTAATAGATACCGAATCACATTATGTTTTAAACCAAGTGTATAAATATTTATGTACTTAGTGTTTTAATCAAGAAGTAGTACATATTGTATTAAGGTCAGGTTTATTTCATTGCAACCTTTAAATGCCATCTTTGATATTTCTCTCGTATAATGTAACAAATGAGTCACACCTTCTGTTCCAGGATCTTATTATAAGTTTTATAAGTTTATGTTTTTTTTTGTCTACATGAATAAATTCAGGGCCGTGACCGGAACATATGAAGAACAGAAGGACTTGTTTTGTCTCTGAGAACCAACGAAATCCTGCTTTTAGTTTTTCTCCCACCCAGAGCTCTCGGGGTGTGAAGTCTTGAAGTCAGTCTGCGTTTCACACTCTGCCGTTGCCTTTCGTTCCCCAGCCGAGACCCTGAAGGCCACGCTGTCGCCTGGGGCCCGCTCTCCATCGAGTCCCAGCCCGGACTCCGACGACGCCGACTCCGTGTTCCCCGTCAGCCCGGCGCCGCCCCCCTCGGACCGCGAGGGCTCGCCTGTAACCCCGGAGGCCGGGCAGGGGGGCTGGACTGAGGCCCTCGGGCTCCGCTCCCCTTCTCTCCTGCACCAAACCCACAGGAACGGCATCGACTCCGAGGTACAGCACAGTTAAATATTGATGCAGGTGTGATGGGATGCCTGTAGTTGCCACGGGGGGGACGGCAGCGCTAAAGGTCATTATAGCCTGTTAGTTTCTTGCCGACGGTGGTTTCAATAATTCAATACAGTCTGTTACAATTACATTTCAGTCTCAATGTGATGAATCATTGATGAGCTCATAAAAGAGGAAGGAGTCCATCTTGTTTCCAAAGGAATTGCGCCATTAAAAATGGATACGGAGACTTATTCCAATTACCGCGCAGAGGTTTTGTGACCTGCGAGGTGAATTTTATTTTCCACTCCGGTGGGCTATTTTGTCGCTAAAAAATAGCGGTAGAACACAATGTGGCCTCAAGGAGGCGCAAATGTTCTGTATGTTTTTCCCCCCTAAACCTTTAGACTGTGAGTAGATTGTGAAGTGGACATTGTTAAGCAGAAAAATGTCATGCATCAAAATCCCAGCAGGCTCATTAATCCGCTCGCCGTGTTGTGGTTTTGTCTGTTAACAGGTTGCTCAAAGTGTCCAAAGCCTGACCCGGTTACTCTACAGTCTGCAGGTAAGTGCATTATTCAATACACGGCTCACCACCTGCTACTTCTCATCCCGCCCGCAGCCCTCACACGTATTAAACAAACGCACCTCTTGCATACTGGGCGCTTTGTTGTGGAGATAACGGCTTTAATGTGGCTCCGGCAAACGGGGAACCAGCGCTCTGCAGGGAGCGAGCTGCAGGAACCAGAATCCTGCTGATCTTTGTTCTGCTGGAAGATGTACACGAGTCCTTTGTTTCATCGCACAAACACACACACACACACACACGCACACTGCTGTTAAGTATAAAATGCAAAGTTGTGCATGCACGTCGTGTGTGTGTATTTGCATGAGGGGACGTGTGGGGGCTCTCTCGTCCGTCTATGTGCATTTGGTGAGGTTTTTATTTCAATGATATTTTCGTATTCAAAGTTCCGAATGCATTCTTGTGTTATGAGCCTGGAAACCGCGGTTTTACCCGCGGAGGGGGGGGGGGTCATTTGACCGTGTGTAGGCCTGGCGAGGGTCTGATCCAATTCAAATCGCCTTCTCGTATTCCCTGTTGTGGTGGTGGTTTTTTTTGCATTTTCATCAAACATTCACATCGGGGTTTTTTTCCGGGTTGCAGGCCACCGTCGCCATCCAGGACAGCTGCTGCGAGGTCCAGAGGCTCCTCCTCCGAGAGAGCGGCCGCCCATCCCCCCGCGCCCACCGGCCGCACCTCCCCAGCATGCGGGGCAACACCCTGCAGGAGCAGGAGAAGCAGCGCAACCTGGAGAAGCGCAAGGAGGAGGTGGCGGCGGCGCAGCGGCTCAAGGGCCGCCTCCGCCAGGAGAAGGAGCGCTGGGAGCGCGAGTGCCAGGCCCGGGAGAGCCAGCAGGGGGAGCAGGAGAGCAGGCTGGAGGAGCGGGAGCGGCAGTGCCACCTGGAGACGGAGAGGCTGAGGCGAGAGCGCCAGGAGCTGGACGAGCAGCTGGAGGAGTACCAGCAGAGCCTGGAGCGGCTCCGGGAGGGCCAGAGGAACGTGGAGAGGGAGCGCGAGCGCCTGGAGAACCAGCGGGAGCTGCTCCAGGCGTGGCGGCGCTGCCGGCAGAGGAGTCTGCCCAACGTGATTCCGCACATGGTCATCCCTCTAGATGGGCGTCAGGTATGCGAGGTGGATTTCTGGGCCGGAGGTCAGTAACGAGAAGCTTCTTCTCAGGCGGTTCACTCGCTGGCACGCGGCGAACCCAACCCGCTGTTGATGGACGACCTGCGATAACGAGCGCAATCGCAGGCGTCGTTTGTCTCGGTGCTCCAGCAGCGCCGCTCGCCGATAAACATCCTAATGATTGATGATAATTAAACCATTGCAAATAAAAAGCCTCCGACAAAATAATTAAAACCAGAGGCACGCGGCTCAAGAAAGCAATCCGTTGCGTTGGGAGGGACTTCAATTATCGACACTCTGTTGGAAAAGCACTCGGGTGAAGTGTGTGTCCCCCCCCGCCCCCCCGGAGCCGCGAGGAGGATAAAGGGAGCACTGTTCTCTCTGCCCTTTAAGTCTCACCGCACCTCACAAGGACGAGCAGCGGCGGCGGCGGCGGCGGGGGAACTAATATAGCTCATACATCCAAGTGGAGCCCCCGCCGGGCTGCTTTGTGCTGCCGGGTTCAGCAGGTGTGACCGTTGAAAAGACACACACACACACACACACACAGAGCCTTGAATGGGCCGACAAGTGAGCAGCAATGTTAACAGCAAGACTGGCTGCAATGTTCCTTCTCTCCCTCATTAGTTCACACACCACCGGGGGCTCATTCTCTCCCCCCCCTCCGCTGCATTAACGGCAGCGGGCTGGCGAAGGCGTGCGGGAGCCCTAATGCCCCCCCCCACCTCACCAATGTTTTAGCCAGAGGCGGCGGTTCACCGGGTCAGAGACGGATCGGATGACGCACTCACACCCTCACACCCGCTCTCGGGTCGTTTCTAATTAGGCCGGGTTGATGTGAAGATGGGACGGGGGGGACGGGGGAGGGGCAACTAGGGGAGGAGAGGATGAGGGAGCAGTGACGCCTTTCACAGTACTTCAGTGGGTCAGTGCTTAATACCTACTTCTCCGAGTACTACTACCTGACTGTAATACAAACTAAAACAAAGTAATTAGTAGATTGTCAGTGAGCTGCCCTGATTCCCAATGATCTGAAGGTCTATTAGCAGAAACGTTCATTACGTTCTAATGTCCTGATGCATCGACCCCTTTTAGAGCGGCATTTTTGAACGGCGTGAAAGCCGCGTCCATCAATCACGCGCTAACATGAGCCTCTGTTGATTCTCAGCCTCCTGAGCGTCGCCGTGACGATGTGCTCTCTCTCTCTCTCTCTCTCTCTCTCCCCTCCAGGACCCGGCGGCGAGTCGGCCCCGAGGCCTCGCCGGCAACGGCTCCGCGTTCGTGAACGAGGCGGCGTTCGCCGACGCCAGCGTCAACAACCGCCACGGCAAGAACGACCCCGACGCGCACAACTGCCTCAACGCCCTGCTGGCGAGACCCGGCAGCAGACGCAGCGCCGGCGCGAAGACCCCCCGCGGCACGCACGGCGACCCCCGGGGCTGGGTGGTGGGGACGGGGTACCTCTGCGGCGCCGCGCGGCGGCTGGAGCTGCAGGACGCGCCCGCCGGTAAGACGCTCAAGAGCGGAGCGGGGGGGCGCCGCGCGCCCGAGGGGCCCGTTAGGGGGTCACGTCTCCGCCGTATACTTTTAATAATATAGAAATGACTGTAAAACACTAAAAACTTTCAGAAAATTTAATTTTCAGTAGGCTACAGGTGAACATGGTGACATATATGAACAAGTAGAACCAGTTGATAACATACACTAAAATAATTTAGCTATCTATGAGCGAATGCTAACCGTTATTTAGAAATATACAAATAAGCAGTTAGATCAACTCTGCACTACTTTCTGTTACTCAGTACAGACACATAAACAATGGAGCAATAAACTGTGGAAAGCTGCAGAGAAAAAGATCTGCCTGCGGGACGTTTCCCCTCTCCGGTGGTCTCTCGTACGGGACGGCCGTCATCGCGTCTCCGCCGCTCTGCATAAACGAGACATCTGCTCCCGGTGGGAATGTCAACAAACGCCTGGTCCTGCAGCGGTTTTCCCGTGAGAGCCTCGCTGTCCTTCCCCTCACCTAATCAGTGTCTCCTCCCCACCACCTCCGCCTACCTGCGGCCCGCCAAAAAGGAGGGGGGGGAAATCAATGGTTCCTCCATCTTATCGACTGGCAGGGCAGACAACGGCGTGTGAATCGCAGTTCACAGGCGACGGCGGCCTGATTGGCACATCGATCTAAAACAAAAAACCAGAAAAATCTTTACTAAAGTCATTACAGCATGACTTGTCATCGCATCAATGGGGGGGGGGGCGCGTGTTATGTTACTCCTCTCACGTTCGCTCTTGGATCTCATTGGGATATCTGCGAGGGGGGGGGGTGAACAGTGAGGTCAGTGTGTCGGGTGCAGCTGATGTTTCTGCTGTTGTTTACCAGCAGCACAACCTCGTCCTCATCGATCGGCTTCTGAACCTTCAGCCAGAGTCGCGCGTTAACAGTACGCAGCTCCCATTTACCCACAATGCACTCCCCCGCGCGTCCCACCAGGGCCCCGCTGCGGCGCACTCTGAAAGACGCCGAGTGCGTCTTTGCAACGATTCCTCGGTCGACTTGTACCTGCAGAAGGACCCCGTTCAGAGGCTGATATGCAGACGCAGATCAGCTGCTGCAGGAAGCGAGCGTCTCTCTCCATCGTGGGAAAAGAACAGGAATGTCTTTCAGATGCAAATCCAACACGTGATCTCACCGCTCGCTCTCACCTGAGCATGTGAAGATTTCCTCTCGCGCACACACACACACGCCTTTTTCATTCAGCGTGAGATTTTCATAATTTGTTTCTGCACAATGTAATCTCGGTGAACCAGTTGGATGGACTTTCTCAAAGCGGCGACTCATCTGATTAGTCGTGTCGGGTTTTTGTTGCTCGCCTTTTTCGCACAAAAGGATGAGAGCGGAGGGCCGAAGGGAGAGAAGGGAGATGAAACCGGCGCTCTTAACGGCATGCAGATCAATTCACACCTCACACAATGCGCTGCATGATGCACAAACCTGATCTGTGGCCGTGTAACGAAGCGCCGTGCTGCACAGCCGGGGGGTCAAAGGATCATTGAGATCCCAACTAGAACGTATCAGCAAGCTGTGGAATCATAAACACACCAAAAGCAGTAATCGGCTTGTTTTATTGATTGTTTATGGCTTTGACTGGTATTCAGATGGAGGCGTAAGACAAAGCAAATATCCAGATTGTTGAAACAACTTGAGCCACCTCTTACGTAATTAATCACACAGAGACGCTCTCCTGCGGGGACGCAATAAGGCAATTTATAGTTCACGCCATCTGTTACCATGACAGCACGTCTGCCGTAACGCTGGACGGCACGCGCCGCGCGCACAAACTGGCCGCCGCCCGTAAAACACACAGTCGCCCTCAGATCGCTCTTTAATTAAATAATAATGCTCTTCATCCTGGAACGGAACGGAGGCGGGGGAGAGAGGGGAGGTGGGGGGGGGTGTAAAGCCTGAGGGTGTCATATTCCGCGCGCCGGCCAACTCGAGGGTTACGAGTCCTTGTCGTCGCCTCAGCGCTTAAGACGTCTACTCCACCCTCCTCGGCCCCCTCGTTTCCTCGCCGCCTGCTGTTAACCCCTCGCCGGTGGATCACGTGGATCAAGATGATAATATAAAAGTGACACCTCTAAGTGGAAGAGAGGAGGAGGAGGAGGAGGAGGAGGAGGAGGAGGAGGAGCTGCAGCAGCTGTGGTTGATCTGCACGCAGTCGGCGATTTAGACAAGAGGACCAAACAATTAGCCGGGGCTCATTAAACAAAACCGGCCTGGTGATTACGCGCCGGCGCGCCTTTCTTTCCACATACGTGTTGATGTTTTTTTTTCTTTCTGTGCGCTCTCGCAGATCTTAACCGTGCCGCCGCCTACATCGCGGGGAGCTGGTCGACGACAAGCGGCGCCGACTCGCCTCCCGCGCTGCCCGGTGCCCGTGACCCCCGCCTGGACCTCAGCGCGCTGGTTTCCTTGGAGACGGACGGCGGCGGCGGCGGGGAGGAGGCCGGCGAGGAGACCATTGTGTACCTCTGAGACTCTTTAAGTAGCCAACCCTGCACTCGGAAACCAGACCAAGACATTCGTCAAGCGCCAGGATCGGATGGAGAGTTTTCTCCTTTTAAAATGATTATTTTTTTATATTTAAGCGGTGGCTTTGTGGTGTTTTTGTAAGCGTAAAGTGCCTGGAAAGAGAGAAAATGACGTCGTTTCACGTGTCCTGCACCTTAGCTCCAGGCACCGCCGCGCGTTTTTATTTCTCTGTGTCCTCGGCTTGGTCCCTCCCAGCTGTTCTGTCCCTCCCGTCACAGGCCCCACGTGTCCTGCCCTCCTATTTATTAAATTGACCATAATGGAGGACAAAGCGCCTTCGCCCACAAAGGAGCAGACGGTGTCTCTCCAGCGGCTTCCTTCGTCCGTCAGACTGTCTCTGTTTATGCACAAGACGCCCGGGTTGAATGATGCGGCGCGTTGCCGTCGTTTATTTCTCTTTATCCTGTTGTGAGTAATAAGCGCAGATGCAGTTCAAATGTTTCAGCTGTGCCAACTGCGGGAAAAGCGCGTTTTGATGCCCAAATGTCCCCGTGAGGGCAAAAAATAGTTGCGGTGAAACAATTCTCCTCACAATGTTTTCTTTCTGAAAACATTTTCATTTATTTAATTTTAGCCCCATTCGCGGCGTTTCTATTGGCTGGACTGTCATGATCCTTATTCCTGTCCCCTGACAATCAATCATAATTTCCTAGGTGAAACTTTTGGGAATTCAGCGATAGAACTGTGTATGCAATATACAAGCTGTAAAGGCTTCTCTCCATGAGCTTACAATGCTAAACTATTACACTTGAATATTTACCTTTCTCTTGTGGGCATTTCGTATGTAAAGAGATCCCTGTGCCAACGCTTCAGCATATAAAATATGTCTAATTTCTGTCAGTGGCTTTGTTTTGATGCAATTTTAGTACCACGTTTGTATGTTTGTGCTACTATTTATTTATTACAGTACTAAAGAGATTTACAGTGCTTTGTGAAGGGTTGCATTGCACCCGGTAGTTTACCTGTGTGAGCAGAGGAACAGGTGTGTTTCTGTTTGTTCGTGTTGTGTGCTCAGCTGTGGCCTGATTAAAAAAAAAATACTTTTATTGATCTTCAAATTAGTACTTTCTTTGGGCTAATAAATGGGACCCGGGGAACCTTTTTAAATAAACCAAAAAACAAATAATCAAGCTGATTAAAGCTCAAAAACGACATACAAAGTATCCCTCGAGTTTTTGTGAATGTGAAGCGTCTCCGGCGCCGTCAGCGCGTTGCCATCAGTGGCAGGTGGTGCACCAGGTGCATGAATGACGTCGGTTTCCTGACCGACTGCGCCTCTGAATTGCAATTGGAAAAAACTCCACATCACTATTGAATGAATGCATTTGTTGCGTGGAAACAAACAACCTTGTCGCCAACGTTTTGGAAGTTGCTGAATTCTTTTAAAACACTGAAAACACTGTGACTTTTACGAGGTGCAAAGATTCGAGGCTGACTATAAAAACTCAATTTGGAGCTTCCCCCGACGGCAGTAACGTGTTTTATATGCTCCACCTCTGTCTCTGTTGCTCTCTCCTTTTGAGGCAGAAGAGCAGATGAACAGGTCTCTTGCGATGTGCAGCTTATTATTCATCCAAGGCTCTACACACAAACTGCGTCCCATATCAGCCGAACTCTCCAAGGAGAGTTTTAGATGATTCGATCTTGCCTTATCTAATGTCCTTTGCAGAGACGTAAAGTCTAATTAATGCTTTAATAACCACATATTGATTTTAATAATTTAACTCTGACTTGATTACCTTGTTCTTATTGAAGCTGCTCCTCTAATCAAGTGTGGAGCTCCTCAGGGGTCAGATTCTGGGCCTCTTCTGTTCATTCTCTCAAATCTAAAGATTACTCTCTTAACTCAAGTCGTGCCACTTAGTTATTTCAATGTATTTTTATTTCGTACCGTCTCATGTCGTTGTCCTACGTTTTAATGCATTTTATTCCTTATATAAGAGCTTTTCTCTTTGTGGTCTTTCATACTGAAGAGCGATGTGGCGAAGTCGTCAGACCTCAACGCGATCCTCTTTGTGCTGCCTGCGGCCTCTTATAGATCCATTATGCTCATTCTTTTTGCTACAATGAAAGTGTCTTTTTAAGCCTTAATCACCTTTGGCTCACCGTGTGCACGTCAGTGAGCAGCGGCTTTGAATTCACGGACCATATATTATAGTACAACCAAAATGTGCTTACGCGTCTTTTATTTAATTCTTTTTCTTTTTTACTCATAGAAACCTGTCGAACGCGGCTTTTTGAAGTGGAAAATGCTTTTGTGTGACAAAGTCAGACAGGAACGGCCCGTTCTACTACAAGACGAGCATTTTGTTCACCTGTCATGTGAGTCATGTTGCACAAACACTATCGTGAAATACCAATCAGCCATCTGCGTATTTCCAGTTAATTCCCTGATAACATCACAATGGCTTCTCATTTCACAAAACTTAACAAAGCCTCTGATTAAGATCTCTGTAGCGTAGAATTTTTCTTCAGTAAACCATACAATTGAAATGGCGATAAATACTCAACAGCTGATTAGTGTTTCTCAGCCTGTGTGTCGTCACGGTAATCAGAAGTAGTTCCTTCCTGATTATACTTAAAGAAAGCTGCTGCTGCACGTGGCCTCTTTCTGCCTCCCCTGGTTGTTTTTTAATGACCCCTGTGGAAGGTAACCAACACCGCCGAAGGAAAGGAAGCGATAAAGGGGCGAGCGTATTATCGCTGAGTCATCTGCCAGGGTGAAACATGCGTAGCTAAAGCCTCTCCCGGAGGGGGGGAAGTGTAATGATTTCTGTAGGCGCACTGAATAAACCTGCCCGGGCCAAAATATAAATAACAGCCATTAAAGCTTATCCTAGTGAGGACTGCTTTTATGAGAAAACCGGAACAATATACAGCCACATATATATATATATATATATATATATATATATATATATATATATATATATATATATATATATATATACAGGTTATTAGATTTCTCTGGGGTGAAATGTAGTGACATGCTGGACTCAATAAATACAGACTTCAGCTAGAGGAGAAAATCTACTACAACTGTAACAACTTACTGTAAATTGATCTGACTTTTAATGCTGTTTTTCTCTGATGTGTCAGTGCGACTTTAACAATCCTTCTAACGTGTCCTTGCAGCCTTTGCAAAGAGGTGCTTTCGAAGTGGCATTTTAAGCGACACGCCCTCTGATCTTAACCTTTGACCTCGGACTTAATTGCTTTCAACTCATCGCGTCCCCGTTTAATGTCACCGCCGTCTCCTGCAGCTGCGTCAAAGCCAAGTGCAATGCCGTTCACCCCAAAAGAAATGCTAATTATAGCACCCGGACGTCAGTGTCACGGCCGCAGAGCAGCGGCGTGCGCGTGAGATGTGCACTGGAGGCAAAGAGGACCAGAAACAGAACCGAAACGTTTTCCAGAAATGAGCTATTTAAATTGATCTAGAAATGGTTCTTTTGGCCCGACACAAGCAATACACGTTTGTTTCCTACACAAAATTTCCAATATACTGGAACCCAAGTTGTGTATGTCACAACTTTTTGGAAAAACACATCAGCTGGTCAGGGTTTACGACTTGGATGTTGGTTTTATAAGCTGGAAAATGGCTAATTTTATCCCTCCGCGTGACGTCAATGTCGCATTAATAAGCTCGCCGACACTGTTATGGGGTCTTTGCCTTTTGAAGTAAACAGCGTCGCACTTATACCCTAAATGTATCTCCCGATGTCGATGGTAATGATTGTCTAAGATATACAGAAATACTGATGATGCACTAATCTCACATTGCTTCTTCTTCCTCATTCTGGACCTGACTAACAAGGAGGCCGCTCCTGGAGGAGAAGAAACAGTTCACATTGATGTTGCAGGTATGTCAAAAAGGGTTGAAATGGATAATTCACATTTTCACGCATTGTGTCTCACATATATGACAATCACACAAACGGTAAACTTAAAAAATGTTTCTGATTGTATTTTTTGATGATCAGAAAGAAGGTGGAAGATGCTGCATGCACATGTTTCAGGTATCTCTCGTTTTTCTTGAAGTGTTTTCACCGCCCGTTCTTACTGTCGTCGGTTGTTCCTGTGATGCTGTTAAAACAACAACAGCATGTGTGTGTGTGTGTGTGTGTGTGTGTGTGTTAGCCCGTTGAGCAAAAATGTGTTTGATCATGTGTGTGTGTGGTTTGTTCATGAAAGCATGGCAGCACGGCATCATCTGCTTTCAAAAAGAAAAATTACAAAGGAAGAGAAGCTCTTTTTTTTTTTTTTTCTAATTGTGTCCAGACGGAGTGCGGCCATTTTTTTGAATGCCTCCTTTAATTGCAGCCTTGGTGTTTTTGCGCTCCGAGGAGGGGAGCCGACACGCCGAGGGGCCCCCGAACCTGTCAGCACTCGGGGGGCGTGTGACGAGCAGCGGATGGCCTTCGTGAGAGCGCGCGGACGAGCAGTTCGCTGTGATCTCGCCGAGCGTGACGGCTTTGTTATCCTCCACAATGGCCTCGCTCATTAGTTCAACCCTCCCACCCGCCTCTCCACGGGACACTCATCTTCCTCCTTTGTCCTTGTGAGTCACAGATGACCGTCAGGTGTCAGCGTGCGGTGTGCGTGTGCAGCGGGAGACGGTGTAAACACGGGCTGATGGGTAATGGATAATTGAGGTGTCGTGAGGCTCTTAAGAACACGGGATTAGTTGTGATTTAGCCTTTTCTCACTGGATAGAATGGCAACGCAGTAACGCTTGTCAGGCGGGTTTTTTGTGTTGGAGTTATTCATCAAAAGGTTAAGTGGTGAAGACAGGTGTGATTCTGAGCTGTAGGTTTCGGTCTATTCTGGATTTTGACAACGTTTACAGAAGGATGTCAAAGGCAACGGTCTTGAAAATAACCTCTAATTGTCGGCCGGTTACCCTCCTTTCTCAAATGTCCTTGTTTAAGCAATGTCTTTGTTAGCAAAGCTCGGCAATACATTTATACAGGTGCCAGGTTATTTTGACTAAAACAGATTGCGGTTAGAATAATTACAACACTAACCCTAACCCTAACCCCTAACCCTAACTCTAACGCTTCTTACCTAACCCTAACGCTTCTTACATAACCCCTAACCCTAACGCTTCTTACATAACCACTAACCCTAACGCTTCTTACATAACCCCTAACCCTAACCCCTAACGCTTCTTACATAACCCCTGACCCTAACGCTTCCTACATAACCCCTAACCCTAACCCCTCACGCTTCTTACATAACCCCTAACCCTAACCCTAACACTTCTTACATAACCCCTAACCCTAACGCTTCTTACCTTACCCTAACCCCTAACCGTAACGCTTCTTACATAAACGTAACGCTTCTTACATAACCCCCAACCCTAACCCCTAACGCTTCTTACCTAATCCTAACCCTGCCCCATTCAGCGAATGTCCTTCCTGACATCAGAGGAAGCAGCAAACACACAGCCGGCCCTCCTGGATGAACGCCTGGTCATTAAAAACAGGTGAAAACAAGGTCAGTCCTCACCTCCATCCGCCCGCGCACAAAGACCAAAACTGGCATTCTGCAGCTTTCAGTCACGCGGCGCGTCCGCCCTCGACCTCCGTCTTGTATCCAGCCGAGAGGAGCTGGAGTGAGAGATGCTCTCTGTGCACTGGAGATATTCAGGCCAAAGGCAGATTTGAAAGGCGCGCATTTCCCCTTGACCGGAAGCCCTAAAAACTTATATGGAGGTAATTTATTTTATAGCGTGTAGTTGTTGCCTCAGGTTTGTTGTTCTGCCTGATGAGCAAAACACGGTACTTTTACACGGTAAAAGCAAGCAAGCAAGAATCACTGTCTCTTCATTTGTTTCCAGCAGCAGGATACTTCCTGCTGCGGAACCATGTGACGCTGCGTGGACTGCGGGCCGGCGCCGGTGTGACTTTTAAAGCCCAGCGGATTGATTATGATCGGCTTCCCCCGGCACGATGGAGGCTTCACGCGTTAAGGTTAACGGATGCCTTTTGGGATCATTTTGGACATCCCCTCTCACGATAAATTGTTTTAGCTCTACGGGACTCGTACCTTTGATGGGAAATTAAATAGCCTGTTATTAATGAAGATTCCCATCCTGGAAACCTGGGATATAAAATGTGAATTTAAAACTCGTTTAAATTAGAGTGGGCGT